AAAGGCGAACGAGCGCCTCAGGCTGGGTCGGGCGCATGTGATACAGTGGAAGCCGGGGGACAGGGCATGGTTGCACTGTCCCCAAGTGCCCCTGGCTACCTCCCCTAAGCTGGCGCGGCCGTGGCGGGGCCCTGTGGAAGTGGTCGAGGTCTTGCGACCACAGTGCGTGCGCATTCGATGGGGGAAGCGGCGATGGTTCGTGCACCCCTCTCGGTTGAAACCCTTCGTCGCGGTACACAAACCCACTTCACACATGCGTGGCCAGACGTGTGGGGGGTCGACCGACTCACTAGGTCCGTCTCCGCCGCGCTCACCTAATGCCTTGCCGGCCGTGCCACCTCCAGGTGCATCGAGACTGACGGGCTCACGCCCGACCACCCCTTCTGGGGATACCAACGGTCACGCGGCATCAGAGGAGGTCTCACTCCGGGACGGACGATTACCACCTGACGGTCCGCCACCCGGGGTTTCCCCGTGTGAGGGGCCCGCCGCAAGGACACGCGCAAAAATGCGCAGACTGTTGTGAGACCGCAAGATGTGTATATATGTTGTGTTCATTGTGTGTTGTGTGGGGGGGTGTGTTCCCTGTCCATTGAATTTACATACGTTGTGCTCACCTGCTGTTGTGTGTATGGTGGCTTCCCTGCAAATTGTATATAGCTTGTTTCTTACGGAATTCGTATTTATTCAAGGGGGGGTGCGTCGGGTTGTTTTCTCTTCTTGCTGTGCATTTTTTTGTTGCCGTTCTTGTTATTGTTGAAAATTAGTGAGGCACACGCGCGGTTACGGTAAAAATTCATTTTTATTGTCATTCTGTATGTTGGCAGCCGGGACGGCTGCAAGCTATGCGGGGGGGGGGTGATGTAGGGGTGTTAGAGAGAGGGCCGTTATGTATGGCAGTCTATGGGAAACAAACACAGTGGGCGGGGCTACGTGTGTGCACAGGGAGATGCCCTCTGCGACGTCCGAGCCAGACACCCTGGGGGGGGCTGGTTTGGCGTTATGATCCCCCGGGGCCCCACCCCTCAAGGAGGGTTGGGTATAAGAGGGGACGTTATATGGGCTCGAGTCAGTTATGTTATAGTTAACCAAGAAGGCTGAAGACGTCTTAGATAGAGCCCTGGACTCCCCTCGTTCGATGTCCTTATCAGGGCCGAACAGGACTGAGCCAGCGGCGTGGTCCCGAAAGCCAGAGCCGGTGCTCTTCTAAGAGCTGGTCTGGGACTCCGGGTACCGGCCCGACTTACCAGTGTCGGGCCAAGTAGCCTCCCCTAGCCCAGTAGTGGAGGACTGTGAGGCAGGCTAGGACTTAGCTAGGAAGTGTATCCTTAGCTAGTCGGGTGAGGTGGCCGATACCCCCTCCAGTGCTGTATGTCACATACGAGCTGTGTTGAATAAATATCCGTGTGCCTCCACCTCGGCGTCAAGTGTCTTCACCGGTACTTCATATATAGAGATTTATGAAGAAGCCACTAATTTTGTTATATTCTCCACAATGACTACATTATAATTTTGTCTTTATACATATTCATTTCATTGCTTATTTTTCCTTTAGAATCCCAGCGAAAATGTGATCTCTAGAATAACCCATAGGTGCCAGTGAAGAGTTTACTGAGTATGTAATGCGCGCTCGCGGCACGTGGCAGGCAGTGGCGCGTCAACCGGGTTTCCATGGGCACAGGTATGTTTGTGTAACTGGGGTGCTGTGTTGATTTGAAGCTTTCGTGACTGCAGAAATCCATACTCTTTGGTTCTTTTGGTAAAGTCACGTAGGTATAAAATACAATTAAAATAAATCACGACGTTTCGGGCGCAACACAAGCATCCATCATCAGGTGGGAAAGCATGGTCTGCTGCTGAGGCAGACTGTTTTAAAAGGTTTGAAATGGGTGTAGCTCAAGGGTCATAAAGAAGTGGTCGGGGCCAGTGATGTTAATGTGTGAAATTAGCATGTACAGTAACTGTAAGATAAGGGAGCGGCCTCCTCGACGAGGTGCACGGAAGTGGCCCTGTTATTAACCAGGTAAAGTCTTAACTGACTGTGTTTCCATCCAACCTGCCTATGTCAGCTGTTATTTCGACTCTCTGTCTCTCTCTCTATGCCTCTCTCTTAGACCTCTCATGCTCACATGTCCGTTGCATTGCACTCTCATGCATTTGGATTGCACTTTCATGCTCATGTCTTTTGGATTGCACTCTCAAACTCACAGGCCCTTTGGATTACACCACAGGTGTGGACTCGAGTCATGTGACTTGGACTCGAGTCAGACTCGAGTCATGAATTTGATGACTTCAGACTCGACTTGGACTTGCATAACAATGACTTTGTCCCACCTCTGAGGTGTGGACTCGAGTCATGTGACTTGGACTCGAGTCAGACTCGAGTCATGAATTTGATGACTTCAGACTCGACTTGGACTTGCATAACAATGACTTTGTCCCACCTCTGGATTACACCTGTTGGGTTGCACTCCCTCGTCGAGGAGGCCGCTCTTTATCTCCTTCTTTTCTACAGTTACATGCTAATCCCTCACATTAACATAGCCACTTCCGTGCCCTCGTCTAGGAGGCCGCTCTCCTATCTTACAGTTACATGCTAATTTCACACATTAACATCACTGGCCCCGACCACATATTTTTGACCCTTGAGCTACACCCATTTCAAACCTTTTAAAAGTCTGCCTCAGCAGCAGACCATGCTTTCCCACCTGATGTTGGACGCTTGTGTTGCGCCCGAAACGTCGTGATTTATTTGTATTTTATTTTATACCTACGTGACTTTACCAAAAAGAACCAAAGAGTATGAAGTTCAGTGGTTATGGTCACGATTGGAAAACAGCACAGACTGTTACATGTAAGTATTGTTTGAGATACATAGATACGCAATCAAAAATATACGTTTGCCAATACAGTATATATAGTATAACGCTATATTGTACTTATGCGCGGCAGGTTGACTGATGTTAATGTAACAATGTTCCCGATGGGTTGGAGCCATGAAATGTCCATTCGAGCGGTTTCGTGCTCTCTGAGAATAAAAATAAACCTGACATCTGAACCGCATCTCCTGGGTAAAATAAACGGTAACCAAAAGGTCATATCCTAAATATATACAATTCGGTTCCCTCAAGTTATTATAACCCCCGAAAAAACACCACTTGAAAATAACTTCATTGGGGTCAAATGCATGGTATGTTTTCGCTATTTCCGGAATGTGAAGTCTTAAACACGTTTTTAAACAACTGTCCGATCGGCTGGAATCGCAACAACGGCAAAGAATTTGGTCCGTGAAAACATCACGCATTTGTGATAGCTTTGCGCTATATAATATCACGAATACAGTACCAATAGTACACCTTATTATATTGTACTGCACCTCTGATTAGCACAGTTGGCTGCGTACGGTGCGAAAGAAGTTAAAAAGATACATTACTGTTTAACACGAAGGCTTTCGCGACCAATATCATCCATAATAGAGGGGGTTTTTTGGGTAAGATCGCGTAAATATGTCGTTAAAACCCGCCACAGCCAACTAGTAAGGGTTGTCACGTAAACAGAACATGCCAATTCGTCAATAGTACCGGTGTGTTGGAGAGCCAAGCCACAACATTTACAAACTGAGTACGACGTTTCGCCAGTAATTACAACTAGCTTCATCAGGCGACAGCCAGATTTGTGGAGAAGTCCACCTGTTTCGTTCCTTATATAGAGGCGTAGATATGTGAGTAAACGTACATTATGCATGCGCATTATGCGAGCCCTTTGATCTTGTCCTTCCTGTCTATTGTGTGTATTAAAATATCCGTACCAACGGTAATCCCTATTGCATCATCAAGACAGGAAGGACAAGATCAAAGGGCGCATAATGCGCATGCATAATGTACGTTGACTCATTAATCCCCCCTTCCCTCCACTTTGTGCAAGAGCGCAGAAGTGTGGTCATCACATCGACGCCTATATACTGTATAAGGAACGAAACAGGTGGACTTCTCCACAAATCTGGCTGTCGCCTGATGAGCTAGTTGTAATTACTGGCGAAACGTCGTGACAACCCTTACTAGTTGGCTGTGTCGGGTGGTGGCGGGTTTTAACGACACGTATATATTTACGTGATCTAACCCAAAAACCTCTATAATGGAGATACATTACTAACACCGGTTTTGAGTTCCAAGTATTTTGGCACGCAAAACTGTTTTTATGTGTCCGTTCTCTTAGAATTTAGAGTAGATAACATCCAAGTTTATGTGAGGAAAGAACATCGGGGTATCTATCATCTATCTTCATACTCTGGGAGACCTTGCGCGGTGCTCGTCTCGGTGGTTTTGATTTAGGCAGGACATGTCATGTCTGGGTTCCAATGCCGGGGTCTTGACCCTTTATTAACACAACCCACCTTTTGGCCAAGCGACGTAAGTCGAACCAAGTGGTGCTTATTTTATCTGCCGCAAACGGGACTATGATGACAATAAACTGTAATTGAACTGTCGGGATTTGAAATTACCACCTTGATTTTGATCATGGATTCCCACAATGTGCACCTGTATACATATACAGTCTACAATAGCTTTGTTTGTATTATACTGCATCGCCTACACACTATGACATACAATACCTATGTATGCTTCGAGGATGCCGACTTCATATAACGTCCGATTGCATGAAAAATTTGATGCCAGCGTTAATTAAGTCATTGTTAAAATATATATATACTGTTGGATATATACTGTGAAAGTAGGAAAGTAGTTTCTCCAGCGTAACCAGCCCGTGCATGGGCGCTGCGCGTCGAGGCGGATGAGCACGGGCCGGGATGAATCATGATGCCCGTGCGCGGTACAGAATGATGTGCTGATATAATTTAAAAGCGGGGGGGGGGGGGGGGCAGCCGTGGGAGGTAGTGGGGGGTGTGAATGCAGCACCGCCTTGAGCACCAGTAAAACCGAGCCATTGTGAAGTACTTTAATAGGCTGCCGAGGTTACGGTGGGGGCGAGCATTAAACTGTTTTCGCTTGAGCCGTCCGGGACGTTTGGTGCTGGGCGCGCATGTGGTCATGTCCGTGGGAGGATTCGTGCCGAGTTCTGCCCCACAAACACAAAAGTTAATCTTCTGCAGCACCGGACGTGCCAAAGAAGGGTGAGTTGAGGTTGGAGCCCAGGTTCTGCTGTTTGGGGAAGGTGAGGTCTGCTGTGTACGCACGCATGGACCTCTCATTGTGCTCCAGTGTGACTCGACGATTAATTCTGCTTGCGACGTGTGCAATAATATAATTGTCCACTCATTGAATACATTTCCCGTCTACGGTGTTATCATTATCTCGATACTACTGCGTAGGCTTTTATCGCGGGGTGTGCTGTATAGCTTATCCGATGCATTTTCGAGTTGTACCGCCTGTTGTTCGTCGGGATGTCCGATGTTTCGTTCCACGTGCTGGGGGGGGGGGGGGGCTTCTTCAGGAACTTGATAAACCGAACCAATTCATTTGCTAAAGAAGTTCCCACTAGCACGTGCAGAGAAACGTCGGATATCACGCTGATAAGAACACGCGGTACAATGCGAAAATAAATCGTAGAGTTTCTACTCCGTCGTCTTTAAACATCGCAGCGTCGTGCGCTATAGGGCTGTGCAACGAGACGCGGAAGAGATGCCCTGCTGTCTGACAACTCGACGTGAGAGAGTTGCCGAGTGAATCTCTCTCTCGTGTGAGACACGAATCGCCCTCGTACAAGCTCTGCTGGTGCGCATTTTTACAAGTCAAGGTTTTTGTCCCACTGCGGAAGTTTTTGTGGGGTTTCTATGCTGCACTTTGATGTGCTTTCACGTTGTTCCGTATGTTGTTTGGCACAGTGGACGACGTTTCGCTGCACATGCTGGGGAGATTCAACCTGAATAATAAATCAGGATAACTACATTTATCTTGTAGCCTAATGGTAGCATTTGCATACAATCCACAAATTGCACTGAAAGTAACTAATCAGATATTAGGTTTAAGTCGTCTTACAAAGTAGGGTCGCGTGGCAGGTAGGTGGTCAAGTCGTGTCGTCACTGATAATGTCGGCGGGTTAACGGAGATTATCCGCTCCTCATTCGGGGAATATATATGTTGAACTTAATTTCGCACCGTACGTAGCCAACCGTGCTAATCGGAGGTGCTGGGGAAGGGCAGCAAACTAAACACATATGCTGTGTGAACACCGAACCTTGTGTAATAAACGACTCTGTCAGGCTCTCTTGGTCTCCGTTGTCGTTTATTTAGGTTCTTCGTATCGCACCCTGCTGGTCCTCGGCCGGACCCGCGCCGCCTCCGCCGCGCGCCCCGCGCACGCTCCGTGTGGCCCGCACTCGCCACCAGCCACACCGCTCGCTCCGTGTGCCCCGCACACTCCGCTAGTCACTCACTAGCCACGTGTGCCCCGCACACTCTGCTAGCCCCTCACACACCGTTAGCCCCGTCTACCCCACGCACACCGCTGGCCGACGGTGTGCGTAGGTCTACGACCACGTGGCAGATGGCGCCGCTCCACCACGTGGCAGAAGGCGCCATCTTCCGCACTGCCCAGCGTGGCTTCCCCTATTCTCGCTCCGTTCCAACTCCTCGATCTCTTCCGGCTCTCTCCCTATATCCTCCCCCTCACGTGACCTTGACTCCTCCTTCCCGTACTGCCCCCGTCTCCGCCCCGCCGTTCACCTCGTCTCCCATTGGAGCCGAGGTGAGCAGTGGCTCCTCCCACACGCTCCGCCGACCAGGCTCCGCCCCCCAATGCTCCGGGCCGTGTGATTGGCGTGGAGGCCAGCAACTACCCCGTTAATGTTCGCATTACACTTGGAACACCAATACTTTAGTCGACCCCCACTTATTTCACCAGTACACCACTGCTGGTAGTAAGTCTAATTATACACAATTTTTATTCCTGGGTACTAAGTGTTATTTTTTTATTTCTTATGCCTAAAAAGTATAGAACATGTCTTATTATTCCCCACAAACTTTGCTTTTGTGACTAGGACTTTATGTGAGCGAAAGACAAATGCACACGTTTTCTCATTGAAAATAGGTATATTTCAAAATATCACTGTCCTAGTCACAAAAGCAAAGTTTGTGGGGAATAATAGCCATTTTCTGTACTTTTGAGGCATAAGCGATTAGGAAATAACACTTACTACCCAAGAACAATTTTTTTTTTACACTGTTATATACGGAGATGTGGTGCCAATGCTAGTCCACGCTGCGCTGCTGGGCGCGGATACATATGAGACTCCACTGGAGTAGTCACTATGGTGCGTGTTTCCCGGTTGTGCTGTACAACTCCCCGATGTGTTTTCGGGTTGTATCGCGAATTGTTTGACATGATGTCCGACGTTTTGTTCCGCATGCCGGGAGCTTCGAGAAGTGCAGAAGCGAAGAAGGCCCCAGTCGCCTGCGAAAGTCGTCTGGCAAATCGGATGCTTTCCGTGACAACTTTGTTCCTTTCCTTGACTAATTATATGACTAATTATTCGTCTCTGTCCCTGTGAGAGTCTGCGTGTCCGTGTCTACTCAGGCATGCCCACGCAGCGCTGATGTAAAGACAGTACAGGGCGATAGAGGGACAGTGGCTCCCCAGGACCATAGTTACTAGTTAACGTGCTAATGAGGATTGATGGGACGAACGTTGACAGGGTCACGTGAGGGGGAAGCGCGGGACCCAACGTCCGTGAAGTGTAATCAGGGCGGAGATTGACAGGGCCACGTGCGGTGAGCGAGAGTTCGGGAATAGGGGCGTGGCCGGGGCGTGCGAGGGATAAAAGCCGGCGCGAGCCGGAACTGGTGGCTGTTGTTGTGGAGAATCGCCGTCGTCTTTGAGTAGTCTTGATGGCTAGAGTTACATTGTCTCAGAATAGAGTCGTCTAATTACCCAAGTGTATATAGTCACTCGCGGTTACGTGTTAAGTTGTCAGCAGACTTTATTCATAATAAATATAAAATAAAGAACAAGACAATGTCTCTGAGAGCTACATTACACTACCATTAATCACGCCGAGTGGCTATTGAGAACAAAGGGGATCTGTGATAATGCGTGGGAAGTTGGGCACAAGGACAAAAAAACTAAAACTCACCATTCGATAACGCCCATCATTGTTTTTTCTGTAAAGGACCATTTCCTAAACTGTCGCACATTATTACTATTATCATTTCTTCGGGGAAGTGTTATTGACGGTTGTGTGGAGTGCATTTTTTAAACGGATGTTGTTGGTTTACGAGAACTTCGGGGGACTCTCCGTGTACTGCGACTGTTGCCCTTCCTCTGAGGTGGTGGATCTGTTAGCCGTGGATCCGGCTTGGACACCGTGCGCCGGGGCTATCGTTTCCGCGTGTGAACGCCGTTCTTAAACGTCTGCTATTTTAAATTATTTTCAAAATCATCAACGCTTGTGATCTATATACTGCTCAATGGATTGCCTTCCTACATTGTCGCTTAAGCATAACTTCTTGGAACGGGTGCTTGACCATACTTCATCACAATAGTCACTGTCGGTTTGAAGTCGCGCTACCTGACGATGGAACCCGGAATGAGATGTTAAACGATTACACATTTATTTCAACATTTGAATCGACGTATACCTACACACAAAACTAAATAAAAAGTACGTTGAATATAGCACTGCTTGTTTGACGCATGAGTAACAACACCTAGAAGTCCAAAACAGTATACACAGATGTATTTATTTAGGATATTTTTTTTATAAGTGCATTAATTAAGAGTGGCAACCATCGTGTGATATAAAAGTACTGTTACTTTTCAAATATCTATTCACATCGGCACAGACGCATACTCCAGCTGAATGATATAAAAGCGAATCGGCACCTTCGGAGACAACCCCTTCAGAGCATAGAGAAGTCTGGCTGAATGTTGCCAATTGGAGATATTATTTGTTCAAAGCGGTAAATTGGAAATAGATGACATTTCTAGGCAGTTGCTCAGCACACCACTTGTGTCTTAGCTGTCTCACATGATTTCCCAAACTGCAGTCCTTGCGACAAAGCACACCGCCACGTCTTTTTGCATTCACCAATTTACTTCCATTCAAATACAAGTTCAGCCGTTCCACGCTGCACTCGCCAGATGATTGTTAAGCACGTCCCACGTGACGCGCACAGCAATTGACGCTGTCTTTGTCGCAAACGCGCGTGCATACACACGGACACTGAGATTTCAATCTCAATTTGAATCGTCTCTCGATTTTAATTCTCAATTTTAATTCTTAAAATTTGTATTCTTAAAATGTATATCTGGGCGTCTGTGTACATGATTCCACGTTACACAGACAGCATTGAATGGCTAGGAATGTCACGTGTTAACAATTATTGGGTGCGTGGAAGTACGGAATATTTGGCGTAAATTTATAAACACAGGAAATCAGTGGCGTGATGGGTCTCCATGACCGCTTTATGCCAGTTCTTGGTATTTACTGTATAGGTGAAACGTGTGCTGCTGTTTCTTTGCTGCACCTTGACGTGCATCCCGCACGTGTAACAACATGCAGTATTGCTATCACTGTGAATGTTAAAGCATGGACTTTTAATTGCATAATGTATCGAGTTCCCACACTCACTCTGCCCCGCGCTGTGAGTTTACTTAAGTACTGATGTAACCTGTATGGAATAACCAGCATCGACAACAAGGGACATAACTATATAATAATACCATGATATTTAACAAAGTAATAATGTTGAATTGGACATGCTTTGATGTTAAACCATGATTAGATATGTGCTTTGTAAAATGTGGATGTGACAAGCATTAGATTTGGTCAAGTGAAAATGTTAGACGTTTATATTTTATATGTGGTTCAGCACTTGCCTAGATTTTATCATGTTGAAATGTTACATGAATTAGGTTAATGATCATAATTGCAATCCAAATTTAAATATTCATACCCAATGATCACATCTATGAAACCTACTTAAATCAGGAACAAACTTTTATTACGAGGAAAATGGCTAAATGTATCTGTAAATATTTCCATTCATCCCGTTCATCATAGTTATTTTCAATGTGCTCATCTCTTGTACACACCTTTTTATATGTGTAGAGTAATAGCGCTGGCTGCTGACAGAAAGTGGTACTGACAGCATAGGGCAGTATACACGTCAGCAGGGACAGTATATACGGGGGAGAAGATAACTAAGGGAAAGCTCAGGAAGGGGTCCATCTGGAAGCCCCGGGAACCTGCTAGTAGGTTCCAGAAGGGGGGCGTGGCAAGGGTGGAGCGAGGCCACGACGGGAAGATAAAAGGAAACCCTCGGCGAGAGCTCGGGGCTGTTGCTGGAAGTGGATCCCCTTGCTGTGTTGCTGTTCGTCACCTTCGTTGCCGTCGTCTTGACCATCACTGGGCACCGCTAGCTAGACAGCCTGTCAACTGTACTAGCTAGATAGTGCCGTCGAAATAGACGGATGTGCGATATATATATAATTCGTGTGTAACTACGTAGGGCGTTTGTAGTCCCCTTTGCATGCAAGAATAAAGAAGGTGCCTTAAACTATCACTGTCTCCGAACTGCATCATTACATAGGTTTAACCATTTAGTAATTCAGAATTAGATCAATAATTTATACAACAGTATGCCGACGTGTAATTCAAAGAAACCTTTTTATTAAAGACACGCTACAATAATCGTCAATATTTATATCAGCATTCCAGAATCAGAATTCAGCTGTTTATAAAAAAGAAAATGATCGACTTTATTGATTCATAATGATATTATATACATGGCATATTATAGTTTTTTTTTATTGTCAATTATTGAAATATTCATTTTAGGTACCATAACAATTCTTTAGATTCACCATACTATTGCTTTTCACCAAAATTTGGAGAAGATCAAGATACCATAGTGGCCAAAGCTGTTGATGCCACCAAACCTTGCGAACTCTTCCCACCCTCCGCTGGATCTCGCAGCAGCTGTATGATCCAGCGCGACCTCCATCGTAGACACGCGACCTCGCCAAAACACGTTAATTTAAACCCACGTAATTTGTCACGGCCCCTTTATATTTCCCCCATATTCCGCAGCCCACGTTTCTGTTAATGCGTGATATTTAAAAGTCCACGGCTGACAAAACTGTAATACCCATCCGGCATTCTCTCTGGCAGCACGGCGCACCGTGAAGGTCTGACCTCTCCCTTGACCACCGTGACTGATGGGGTTGGGGAAGTGTGGCAAGCCCCATGGAGCCGGGGCGGCCATTCCTCTGGTGACGTGATGCGAAGATGGACGCTCGCTGGCTGAGAGGTCCGCGGTTCGTGGGGACGCTGATGACATCCAATGGACAGGTAAGGCTGGTGGTGTCTCCAAGGCCGCCTCTATACTCCCTTCACCCTGCACGCAGCTCATTACTGACAGCGCCGTGCAGCTGAGGTATGCGGCAGCGCAACCAAAGCGTGATGCTCATGGTTCAAGGAGCTTCTCTTTGGGAGATGCTAACTCTCTACACCTCTTGTATGTATGCTCTCTGTGCTCCCATGTCAACGCCGCATTCATTTAAAGTGAATGCCATTATTACAAATGAGCTTTATTTATTAAAAGTGTTCAATGAACATCATTGTCATGGTATAAAATTATCAGCTCGTTTAGGAAGTTATGTCAATGATAGTACATTCGAAACCCAACTTGCTACTTGGATATAAGTTAAGGGTGGTGGTGGGGGGGTTAAGTAAGTATTTGGTAATTGTGTGATAAGATAAACAACTATTTCCCTGACTATTTTTAACGTTGTGTTTCTGGTGATAAATTATATATATAAAATGTAAGAGCCTTAAGCAATTACCGTATCCATACGGGTTGTAAATCAAGATCTTTCCCAAAGTCACCTTGTATCCAACCATTCGGAGTTTAAATGTTTAACGCATTCGTTTTATTGGGCCATACTGAATAACTATATCTGCAGAGGTGTTGTATTTTCCATCATCCGATACAATAGTCATATGCTTTCAGACTTTTTACTCCAGAAAAAAATATGAGGTATGAAGAACGGTCAAACTATGTAACATTCCATCTCATTAATTATGTTCTAAAATTGGAAACATTTGAACAATGTAAAAAATCATGAGCTAGCCTGCGTTGTTTTTTGTTCTTTTATTTTAGATTTATCTTGATGTGTCTTTGATTAATCCGACGAGAGCAGGTTGTGGGTTAGACTTGTGGGCTGGCTGACAAATCAGTGGCGGCAGAGCTGTCAGACAGGATCAGAGCGAGCTTTCATCAGTGAGATTCGATCCACCCGATTCCCTGTACGAGCTTGCTCCTGTGACCAACTGCAAGATCAGAGCATCATAATATTTTTCAACAAATCTTTAATTTCTTAGTCACCAGCTTGCGTCGTTATGTTTCATCAATGCGTTGCATTAAAGTAAGACACTATTAACCTTTTACTTTTATTATAAAAACATTTTCTTGTAAAAATATTCTATTAAACCTGATATTCGAAATTGTCTTTATGATCGCTGAAATTACATGGAGGGGAGTAGGGGTGTAATTTCGAGAGAAGAGAGGCAGCGAGTAATGCTACACTAGGTCAAAGGTCGCCCAGTGCCAGACCTCATCTGACATATGTCACATGTTTCCATGATAACGCTCTAAAAAGTGCCCCGTTTGCTGATATTGCTAGGACAACTGGACCTGATAGGTTGCGGCTATGATGGATGTCCTACACTGGAGGACTGACCAGCATGCATTAAAAGCAGGTGTTTTATTAAATCTATTTTGATCAAATATGCAAATGTAGTAGCGTAATGCACAGTTTCCATGCATGTTTGCATATTTTTATTCATTTATTTGCCAAATAAATATTTTAACCCTTGAGTATTTCACGAAATATCCTTTTCAATTGTAACGTCCACTGCAATGAAGTGTAATGTTTAATATGTTCCAATACTCGCATTATGTTTTCTACAATGGAATAAATACAATTAAGTATTATACTTTTAAAAATCTAGACGTGTTTCTATATACATCACAAAGTGCCGTAATCAGATGTGTGATGCTGTGTAAAAATAAATGCCCTTTGTTGACATATATCCATTGAAATACAGATTTACACAATCGGCTCACGGTCTGGTTTCTTCGTTCATAACTAGAATTTCAAGCCTAACATAAATGTAACTACGCTGTAATAATCACAAATGACAGATACTCAGTTAAATAGTGTACTGAGGTAATTTCTACGATATGTAACGCAAAATGGCTTCTGCTGTGAATTCAAGAGGCTTATGACTGGTAGCATAAGGTATGCAAAGAATGTAGTGGTTTTCATTAGAACCTGTTGTGCTTTGTGCTCTTTACCATAATAATAATAGTAATTGTCTTTAGTGAAGTCTCATTAAATATAATGTCCTTTATTTTGTGGTGTTATTAATACATTTTAAGAATACAAGTTGTGAAGAAGCAAAGTTTCCTCTTGTAATAAAGGTATGCTGGACAAATAATACAATTTCTAAAATAACCAGAAACATAATAACTATCTTAGACAGACATATCTCTTGACGATAATTACGGGCAGCTCCTTGTGGCATTGCGCTACGTTATCACTCTGATTGTCGATCGTATACAGAGAGCATCGTATATTTTGTTACGGCTTTTAATGTGAATTTAAAGGACTCGCATAATGCACATGCATAATGTACGTTGACTCAGTAATCCCTCCCCCACTTTACGCCACTTCCACGCCTATATATATACATCTGGATGTCGCCTGATGAAGCTAATTGTAATTACTGGCGAAACGTCGTACTCAGATTGTAAATGTTGTGGCTTGTCTTTCCAACACACCGGTGTGCTGTACTAGTGATGAATTGGCATGTTCTGATTACGTGACAACCCTTACTAGTTGGCTGTGTCGGGTGGTGGCAGGTTTTAACGACACATTTATATATTTACGCAATCTAACCCCCAAAAACTCTATTATGGATTAATTTTAACTGTGCACATCGAAAGGGATGTTTAAGAAAAGATGCATGTGCGATTGTAATTCGCAAAATTGTATTTCTCTGTTCCTCATTATACTGCCGCATTTGTGTGAAACATTTAATGTAGTAAATACATCAAAATGGTTGTGAAGTTAAGTGCCTCGCAAGCACACATCCCATAAATACATATGAATAATAAATAATGGATGAGTATTGATTTATTTTTTTATGACAAAAGGTGATATTAAGTATTAATTAGCTATCAGCAAGCGTTTCGGAAGGGCCATTTCCACGGATACCTTTTCTGTGCTTTTAAATTACCCCCAGCACAAAAGCTGTGCACACAATGTTCTCTTTAAAGAGAGGCATTTTGGCTGCATACAGCAATTGAATGGCGATACCTTTTGTCACTTCACAACAGTTGTTATTTTATTTCGACAGTCGTTCTCGGCAGAGTGCTGTCACAAACGAGTCCCTGATGGCCCGGGACATTGTTCATCACAAAAATTGCTATCGACTTTTCTGAGGCACATTTAACGACAGCTTAAACTATTTTTTATTGATTAACATTTTCATAGATTATATTCTGTCATGTCAAGTGGAGAATATGAGGTAGTAGGCTCTGTGTGAGCGCCCCCAGCACACGCGCCCTGCTTGTAATCCGAGGCTTGAGTTACCGTCGGGGTTCGCTCTGGTTGCGTGTGAACACGGTGGCACTCTGTGTGTGTGTGAACACGGTGGCACTCTGTGTGCGTATGCCTACACGGTGGCACTCTGTGTGCATGTGCACACGGTGGCACTCTGTGCGTGTGTATGTAATGACAGTAGATTCAGCCTGCAGTGCGAATAGACTAGTGGCCACGGGAGGTAATGACAGGGGAGTCAACTTGCAGTACCAGTGGACTGCTGGCTGCTGGAATGATCGAGAATAGGAGCGTGGCCAGGTGACGAAAGAGGACGGTAGAGTCTGCTGGTAGAGCGAGCGTCTAGAATCAGCGAGAAGGTTCGGGAATGGGGGCGTGGCCTTGGACCGTATATAAGGGAGATGCGCTGGAGACTCTGGGCTGTTGCAGTGTGGTCTCCGCCTGTTCGAGTGTGAGCATGTGGCGCCTTAATAAAAGAAACCATCTGAAGACAAGTGCGTCGAAGTAGTCTTTACATGTACATGGTGACACTCTGTGTGTGTGTGTCGCAGCGTGGTTCTCTATTATCCAAGAACCTTGATGCAGGATACATGTTAAACTGTGTGTACCTTTGGGGTGTGGTAAGGTAGCATTTAGTGCACTGCACTACGAACCCGGTTACTCGAGTTCAATTCCCACTCACGGCCAACACCAGTGACGAACTAGGTAAATATCACCACTGGGTAGACAAAGGTGGCCGGGCGTGGTGTTGGCCACTCACCCCTCATGTGCTGTGCCGGCTTTCATCGGTGTTCGCTAATAGCACTTTTTCTAAAACTTTGTCTTTGTACCCATGTCACAAATAAGAAACACATTCCTGCGGAAGGAGCTGGTCGGAATGTTGGGTTGCTCGGTCAATGGCCAGGGTCAACGGCGGCGTGGTGTATTTCGCAAATATGCCCGACTGTGGGGCAGGCACAAGCCGGCGTGAGTAGGTTAAATGTTGAGTTTTATAAGGGCACCACGGGGTGACCAGCCCCTCCCCACCCAGCCCCACCCCTCCCACCCCCCACCCAGCCCCTCCCCACCCAGCCCCTCCCCACCCTCCCCTCCCCACCCAGCCCCACCCTCCCCACCCAGCCCCTCCCCACCCTCCCCTCCCCACCCAGCCCCTTTCTCCCCACCCAGCCCCTCCCTGCATGACGGACGGACGGACACAATAATCCCCTGTGAGCTGGTGTAACCAGGAGGTTCCTATCAGTAAAAGCGAATTAAGCTTAAGCTTAAACAGTGAGTAAAAGTGTTATGTGCACGTTTATCAAATGTACGTATTTTTTTATTTTTCTATCTACGGGGCTTTACTGAAAGACCCAAAGAATATGACAATGTACGTTTTATTAACATATATTCTAAACAATTTAAACCAGATGTTTGAGTCAACCAGTCTAGACAGCAAATAAAACAATGTAAATTTAAAATTTTCATATTCTTTGGGTCTTTCGGTAAAGCCACGTAGATATAACAAATAATAAAATAATAAAAATAATAACAATATCACGACGTTTTGATCGCAACACAAGCAATTGTCATCAGGTGAAAAATATAGCGGGAGAGCTGCTGAGAATATATGGTGGGAGCGCTGCTAAGGAAGGGAGTTATGAAGGTTTGAGATTGGTGTAGCCCAAGGGTCAGTGGGCGGGTCTAGAGATAAAATTTGCATGTAAATGTAAAATCAGAGAAATCTTGACAAACGAAGCTGTGGGGGTGGCCATTGTATTGTGAGAGATTAGCATGTCAATGTAAGAAATTTGCTAGTAAATGTAAGCTCGGAGACAGCTCGGAAAGAGCCATCGCCACAAGCAAATTTCTTACATTGACATGCTAATCTCTCACAATACAATGGCCACCCCCATAGCTTCATTTATCAAGATTTCTCGGATCTTACATTACCATGCAAATTTCATCTCTCGCCCCGCCCACTGACCCTTGGGCTACATTAGTAAATGGCGGCTTGCCATCCTTTTCCACCTCCATGTGGCGATGGCTCTTTCCGAGCTCTCTCCGAGCTTACATTTACAAGCACATTTCTGACATTGACATGCTAATCTCTCTTACATTGACATGCTAATCTCTCACAATGCAATGGTCACCCCCACAGCTTCGTTTGTCAAGATTTATCTGATCTTACATTTACATGCAAATTTCATCTCTAGCCCCACCCACTGACCCTTGGGCTACATCCATCTCAATCCTTTATAACTCCCTGCCTTAGCAGCACTCCCACGATGTATTCTCAGCAGCTCTCCCGCTATATTTTTCACCTGATGAGGATTGCTTGTGTTGCGATCAAAACGTCGTGATATTGTTATTATTTTATAATTTGTTCTATCTACATGGCTTTACCGAAAGACCAAAAGAATATGAGTTCCTGCAGTCACGAAAGCTTTAAGTCATGATTTTAAAAAATCATTAAATAAAATGTAAACTTTGATTGAATTATACCCGCTATTTACATCAGCAAATATGTCTAACCTCGTGAGAAAGAGAAACGTGTTACACGTGTTCATCTTCATAAATGTGATTGATTCGTCATTCTACGTCTGTTGTCCCCATTATTAGGGCAGTGATAAGTCTGCATACATGTCGGATGTTTTTTCTTTCTCAAAGGCAAGTGTCTTGCTGCAGTTGGTCAATTGATTATACTAGCAGCTTTCAGCTGCCGCACCCATTTTAGCCCAGGCGAGGTGCATTAGCTAGAATATACTCGTCGTGTCTCACTGCATTCAAAGTGGAGGCTCAAAAATGAATGTTGAGCAGTGATAGAGGGGGCATAACTTATTCAGGCAAGGGATGATTATTTTATTTATTTTCCCTTACAGAAAAGTGCCATTGTCAGGTAGTGTTATACATAGAGAGGCTAAAGTCAGCTTTCATTAAAAGCCACAATAGTTATGTTAGAGAATCAACATATGGTATCAAACCATGTAAAGCCTGCATCTTCAACGCAATTACAACCATGAGGACAAATCTGATGAAAATCAACTGTTAAGTGGAAAGTGTTATTGGGTTTTCGCAGGTTTTTGAGACCGAGTTATGTATCTGTAAAATTTAATTTTTTACTTTGGTCACATTTAACATCTCATTGCTGTGTCTAAAATTGCACACCGTTTCTGGATCACAAAACATCCTTGCTATAACACAACATGTGTGTGAATTCTTCAAGTATATTATATAACACAGCATAAGATGACGATTGTGTACTTTCATTGCTGTAAAAAATAAACGCAGCAGATGATTGAATGGAAAATATAAACACAAATATGAAGTCACATTCCTCTGTCCAAGTTATTAAAGTCATGCCGTATTTGCTTAAAAAATATATATCAAAAGCTGTTATGATGAAAATGTAAATTCTCCTCGGCATATCGCGAGATAAACTGGATTAGTCCTAATACCCACTTCAGCGCTGGTTAAAGCCAGGTTGGGGTAGAAGCTTGGCCTTAAACAACTGTAAACACTCGATCACTGCTCAATCATTTTGGGGTCAGGTGCTATATTGTAATTTATTATTAAGTCAACTATTCATTCAGTCGGCTTAATTGGCTTCTGGTGACGTGAGCCCCTCAACCTCGGACTAATTTTGACCTGGGTTGTTTCAAATTTTATTTGTAGGTTACAAATGATGGAAATAGACTATATTAGGGCTTTTACATGTAAAAGACTAGCCAACATCACCGCATTTCTGATCAAGCTCGGCTACATTTAAAAGCATGAACATGCCACACAGGCCTACTTAAATGCAATATTATGACTTAGCAGTGTGAGTTAAAAGTAACGTGGCACCACAGTCCCAAATCTGACAAATTATATTTGATTTGTGTGACATCACCATTGATCAATGTAAGTATGGTTCGAGACATATCTGAATTTGGAAAATAATGTAAATACAACATACCACCTACATACGGCCACACGGCAATTTGACTGGTGTGAGATTATTGTCTGGCTCACTTTCACCTCCGATTATCACAGTTGGCTACGAACTGTGCAAAGGAAGTTCTACATACATACATGTAATAACTTAGCCACCCTTTTGTGTTGTTTTGTTATTTTGTGGTAGGATGCAATGATCTCTGAGCAGCATCGCCAGCTGAACAGGAAGGTTCCGCCTCTCAGTTCATCCCTGCTATTGAGTGGCAACTGTGAAAAGAGACGGCTGTTTGAAAGTTCAAAGGACACACAGAACATTGTTTTGGCCAACACAGAGAGACTGCCCACATTCGACACTCAGGCAAACGGCCGATACCAGTCGACAGTGTTCACGGACCAGAGACCGAGGCTGACGTGCCTGGTAGAAGAGACTCAAGACCCCTTGCTGGATTGCAGGCAGAGCATGGGAGCAACGAATAGCAGAGCCGAGCTGCAGGAGACGCGGCCGGCAGCGACTCGGGATGCAAACGAGCCGGGCAGCTGGGCTGGGACACAGACACCCGAGGACGGAATGTGCAACATTAGACCACCAGCAGAGAGCCAAAATGTGCAGCTGCACCTGGGCGTGCCGAATATGGTGGAGAACAGGAGTGCAGGGTTGAAAGAGCCCCTGATTATGGCCATGAGATCAACAGAGGGCCGACTGGAGGAAGAGACACACGGCAGCTTTGGTGAGTGTTGAAAACTCGTTTCCTATTTTGTTCATGAATTGCACTGACATATTGCAACATTAGAACTAAAACTTGATTTGGCGCTTTCGTGACTGCAGGAATTACTCTTTGGCTCTTTCGGTAAAGTCACGTAGAAAGAGAAAATAATAAATAATAGCATACGACGTTTCGATTGCAACACAAGCAATCATCATCAGGTACAAATGAAAGAGAAAACAAAACCTAGTAAACTTAGAAATATAATGTAATACAACACAGATAGTCGGCTAACATAACAGTCAGCACCCTACCTGGTTGATTAAGTTTTTCCAAAGATTGCTAAATTTAAGAGAGAGATTAAACACAGAACAGGAGACACATAGACAGACACCTAAGCAGAGAGAGAGATCACACAGAGACACACAGAAAGAGACAAACACATAGGCACACAGAGAAACGACGCCTCTGTGTCGAGAGAACATTGACATGCTAATTTCTCAACCCCCATCCCTCTCTGCCCCCCTCTTTCTCTATTTATGGCCTCGACACAGGGGCGTCGTTTCTCTGTGCCTATGTGTTTGTCTCTCTCTGTGTGTCTCTGTGTTATCTTTCTCTGCTTACGTGTCTGTCTATGTGTCTCCTGTTCTGTGTTTAATCTCTTTCTCTTAAATTTTGCAATCTTTGGATAAACGTAATCAACCAGGTAGGGTGCTGACTGTTACGTTAGCCGACTATCTGTGTTGTATTACATTATATTTCTAAGTTTACGAGGTTTTGTTTTCTCTTTAATTTGTACCTGATGATGATTGCTTGTGTTGCAATCAAAACGTCGTATGCTATTATTTATTATTTTATCTTTCTACGTGACTTTACCGAAAGAACCAAAGAGTAACATTAGAACTGACAACGTCCCCGCAAACTTTTTTTTAAGTACAGCAAAAACACATACTTTATGCACTTAATATCATCATCTAATAATAATAATTTATAGCTCTGTCAATCCGCTGCTGAATGAACGCCTCCTCACATTGTGTCGGTCGGGGGGTTATTTAAGCACGCTTCATGCTAGTCAGCATGGGTTCGTGAGAAAGGAGGTACCATGACTGATCTAGATAGCACTCTCCACTGATGTTAGCTGGGGCCAGTAATTGAGCTCAGTTTGCCAGGTTCGTCGCATAGTGTGCTAATCCATGCACGACTGCTGTTGAATGTCAGTTCCATAGAATGTAAGGTAATATTTGTAACTGGTTTTCAAGCTTTTATTTTATCAAAATAAGCATCGCTCGCAAAAATGTTTTGTGTTCTAGTAATGTACATCAATTGTGAATGTGTCATTTCCTGGCAGTGATTTTCAATTGTATGGTCGAATCTTGTATACATCGAGTTATGCTTCAAGCATTTAGCTTGGGTATTGTCTAAGACAAGTCATGCCGAGTTCCTTTAGCTCGAGAGACTAGCTGTATCGGGATCAAACTGATGTAAATCAATAGGCACTGATACAACATAATTCATTTATTTTGCTTCTGCCTTTATTTGCACACCTTAATTACTCTTATAACATTTTGTGTGTTTATAAATAAGCCTGTTGCGAGACATAGGATGCACAAATTAATGTTTAAAAATGCTACTAAACACATTCACATTGTTGACATGTCCTCAACTTATGATTAAAACTGTCCTGCATATTAGCCATAGCCATGATCAATTAATTGACTTTCAGAACAGTCCAATTGTGCCAAAGAGTTAAATGCCCAATGCATTATTTGTTTATGTAAATAACAGGCATTGTTTATAAAGTTAACACTTAAAACGTGTATTTTTCAGGAGGTGACAGTGGTGTAGCGTATTTATTTATTGTTCATGCGAGTGCTTGGGTTCGGGGAACACTTCATCAATCTGACATTGGGAGGTTGGGCAGTGGCAAGTTATATGACTGTGGAGTTGGTGTATTTTATAACCATTTTTCACTTGTCTCTCTGAGTTGGGGGAATTTCTGACAAAAGAACAGAGAGCTTCAGGGCCTCCTCCACAAGAAGTGTGTGCGTGAAGTTCATTAAGTAATAGATATTAGAAATGTGTACAACCATTGGTACGTTTAATTTATTATTCATTCTTACACCCATCGCACCTTTATTTGTGCACCTACAAAATAATAACGAATTGTGCATTGTAAATATAGTTTAAACTCTACATTATGCAGTAAACAAAACTCATACGTGCGTGTTTCACCGGAAAACATGTATACTCAAGCGCTGGTGTGCCAACAGAATGACTCATCTGCGACTAAGAGCGCGTTGGTAATTTGCTTCCTTTTCTTGCGCTGTCTTTGAGCCCCACGAGCCACGCAGCATCCTGTGATCCAATTAACGTTCTCACAAAGATGCACGGATCCAGGCTCAGCGCCAATGACTACTTTGTTGCAAGAGCTTTGCTAGTCAAGTCTATTTAGAATCTCAAATGCCGTGCAACTGCGTTCTAAAACGTGACCGAAAACAAGTGATGCACTTGTGTGGTAACAGGTTTGGACATTTTGCAACATGTTCTTTCTTTTTGGGAGAAAAGATAAAAGAAAGTCAGCTCTTGGTTGGACCAAATGGAGATTTATTCTGACCAATGGAGAGAAAATTAAGTGCACTTTTAAGTTGGCACGGCCCGATTCCGATTACCTGGGACACAATGCGTGCATGAATAATTTCAACCGACCCAGTAATGGGAAACCCTATTTCACGGTGCGCAAGGTTTTCCCCGCAAAACAGCCAAAAAAAGTTTACTCGTTTTAACGTTATTAATTTAACCAAGTTACGTGCCAGCGTTGATATGATGCTGCATCTGAAAACGTGCCACCCAATCGACCAGTTGCACTCTAGTGTCGTTCTTATTGTTTCATAATACGTCATCTGACAATAAATGTTGTCGGGTGAGGTTTGCTTAATTGTGCACCTGCCTTGTGGTCCGTGCTGAAGAGTCAACGGGAACGCCGTTCTTGCCGGCAATGGGGACGGCCGAACAGCGGGCATCGCCAGCCCTGCAGCACCTGGCCTGCCAGAGCGGGCCATCCCCCATACAGGTAAAGGTACAGCCCTGCAATTTCTTGCTAATGCCACTTCTTGCAAAAGGGACTCCACTACAGGGAGTTCTAGAGATCCTCCTCAAGATGGTATTTGGACTAAACTTTGATTCTATCCAGACATTTTTGAAGAGGTGGGAGTACCCACACTTTACCCCACCACACGCTACCTGCTGGTCAACTGTGGTTTACTCGTTTATTCTGCTGATTCGACAGAAGTGGTGAGATTCAAGAAACTTGTGCATTGTTTAAAATAACAAAAAAAATAGTTTTTGCTCTATTTTCTACATCAATGTACAAGTTTACAATCAATGTCACAATACAATATATAGACAACTGCAGAGTAATTGTTGCCACCGGATAACTGTCTGGCTGCCTTCCAGCGTATCTCTAGTTCCTCAGTGATTGTGAGATGCAGTTTGTATGAACGACGCGATATAAAATTAATCATCAGATTTTTCATTTTATTTCTTTCAACAGGGGAGTTGACAGGGGAGTTTATTTTGCATATGCTGTACGAACACAAACATATAATTGTACTTTTTTACGAGCATTTGTTAAATATTAAAGTTAACATAATGACTAGCATCGTTAGAAGTATTTTGCCACAATACTATTGGAATCGCATTCAAATACTGCTGCCTAGATGTTTTCCGGTCGTGCATGATGTCGACGTGGAGCAAAACATTGGACATCATACCGAACAACACTCGGTTCAACCAGGAAACATTGGAGAGGCTATCACATTCAAATATTTATGTGGAATACGGCATTCGAAAAAAAAAACAAGTTCACTCCCCTGCCGTCCCTGATGTTTTCTGTGTCGAAAGCTCATGACTCCGCTGCTGTTACCATTTGGAATGGCGGGGGTGGGAGCCGGTCTGGGTGGCGGTGCGACGAGCAGAGTGGGGCACCCTCAAGGCTTGGTTCTCACACTGCCCTCACCTCGGAGCCTCACTACCACAGCAGCAGCAACATCCAGTGGCCTCTTGGCGCTACCGCTACCGCTGCACAGCCTGCAAGGTACCAAAGCCGTCACCACGTCAAAGCGCCCTAAAACACTAAATCAATGTGAAGTACGGAAAATACGAAACGCAATATGGAGAAAAATAATATCTAGCAAAACCAGAAGAGGGGTGAACTACAAAGAAATGAATTGCGTTGAGTGGTGTATTATTACGCAACGAATATAAACCATGACTATTAAGACTTGGAGATATCCCAGGAGAGGAATCTGGAAAATTAGACAATGGAAAAACCAGGACAGGTGGTAACCCTAAATACCAGTGTCACTTGTTGTCAGTCTCACAACAAACGTAAACACCACCCTCACTAGTAATACCACTGCCATCCCTCATTAAACATTTAATATATTGCTGCCTTTGCTGGCCAATGGTATTTTGGTATTTTGGGCCTGTGCTGAGCAACCCCAATAAAAAAAACTGCCACCACCTCCGTCATTGCCGCAACAACGTGGTAGTAAATTCACAGTATCAGATTGTCAATTCATCTTATGATATATGGCTACCTCCATATGGAATGCAAATTGTTATGTGCTCAAACAAATTGAAGTACAGCTTTGACCGTGTGATGAGAGATGTTTTGAGCACTGGTCTCAAACAAAGCATGAGACAAACATTTCGTACAATCTCAGCCATGTTTACTGAAAGTAGCTCATACTATGCCAGTCCCTGTTTTTAAGCGTGGTTTCTTGCTTATTAGGTACTCATAATTACAGGGTTGTTTTATTTCGCTTACTGTACAATGGATTAATATTATACATAATAGGATTTAAATGTGTTGTGTGTATATTCTATGGTCTTAAATATTGTTGAATCGAACAGGAATAGCAACAAAAATGCATTAGTGTTTCCATCACAGTGATAACATTCTCATGCCAGCATACCCCATATGATGGGAACTGATTTATATATCATTCCTTGCTTGTTAAATCTGATCAATGGGTTCTCTGATCCAATTGCCTAACAACTAAATACAATCCAGTTCAGATGATGGGGATAAGATTTTAAGGCAAGTATGCAATACTGCATTACTCAAATAGTTGATGTATGTTGAACTTCAGATAATAGTAACAGAAACATGTGTAGCTAGCAGTCATGGACTATTTCAACAGACTTGTTAAGGACTTAGTTATTCATTAATGTATCAATTAAAATAGATTCTTACGCTCACAATCCTTGCATCAGATCAGACACATCAGAAGTTTTTATGTAGGATTTTATTGCTTTTTTATACCAATATAGACTCGATAGATGAATCCCACGTTATAGTTTATAGATTCATATTACTGTAGACTCAATCCAGTCACATTATAGATGCTTGTATTGATTCACATCACTATAGCTATATCACCTGTTTGTATTTTCTCCGATTAGCTGATGAGAATGTGACCTGATATTGGTCCGGTCAGATTGCAAACCCTGTGCTATTGGACCAATCATCCTTGAATTTAATTATTCCAAGAAAGTAGGTTTAATAATGGCTGTCGGTGACATATTTTCAAAGATAAAAAAAAAACATCTGAAATGCCACCTTAAGGCTTAAATATTGTTGAGTGACCTTTAATCACTAAAATCCAGCGACCACGTTGTAGTCCATTACTGTGCATTCTAGAGCAATTACATACGTGCACAAGTGACAGCAGAGAAGCAGCCCGTACAGTTGTATGCATCAACGCTAAAATTAATTGGCTGTTAAATGCCAGTTTTGATTGCCATATATACAGCAGCATGGTCACAGAATAACACATTGGACTGGTGCACATCCCTGGAGGGTTTTGTTCTGGAAATGGTCTTCAAGGACAATAACAGGTTTGTTTCTAAGATAATTATCCATGGTCATGCTGGAATGTAAGCGCATCGTCTATTTCTGTAATTTTTCAAAATAAAAAATCTTCATTTGCAAATTAAACTGTATAAACAATGGTCAATTAAGTATTCATAATATAACTTTTAATATAATTAATTAAGTAGTATTGATTTATAGACATTGCATGAAAGCACAATACCATTTAGGACATTTTAGTGAGTGATAATTCTAATGTGTGTGTATGACAAATGTACAAGTCTACAAGTTATATCATGGTAGAGGCATAATCTGTCAGACACACCGACACATTTAGTTTAAAACGTCGTACTCAGTTTGTAAATGTTGTGGCTTGGCTCTCCAACACACCGGTGTGCTGTACTCGTGACGAATTGGCATGTTATGTTTACATAACAACCCTTACTAGTTGGCTGTGTCGGGTGGTGGCGAGTTTTAACGACACATTTATATTTTTACTGCTATCTAACCCAAAAACCTCTATTATGGAGAGACACGTTTAGATTCAGCACAGGAGTGAACATGATACACAAAACGGACAATGAAAAACCAATACTGTGATACTAGAAGTGTCTGTGTATGATACAGCTTATAATCACAACCCATTACCTTTGTTGAAATGCCATCATATTCATGCAACATAATTGGGAGAAGATCCATGTTTTTTAATTAATTTGTTTACTTAAAGTCAAGATCTTCACTAGTGCTTGCGTTTGTGTTCCTTTAATATAATTTCTGATGTCACATGGAAAGATTTGGCTTTTGCTCTAGCTTCATCATAACGTGTGTTTCAAATCCACAAGGGAGTGCATTTAAGTACTGCTGCCAGCAGACTGCAATCAGAATCAATTATGATGCTTGATCAAAACTACACTACTTGAATGAACAAATCAGTTCAGGAGGTAGGTGTAGTGGGTGTGATTGAATGTTATGACCTAAATCTATTACTGCTATTCATGCTCCAATAACTTTGCTGTGAAATCGATTGAAAGCTCGTCTCGGGCACTGTACAGGTAAGAACCCTCTTAGAGGTTTTGTATTTAATTCTCAAGGGTCACCCTCGTATTCGAGACACAAAATTAGGTCATTTATGACAACCACTTAAATAAACAAATATTTAAACCAAAAAGTATACTTTTTCCAATTTAACATCATCTCTATGGGCCATCAGCTGGTAAAATATATTCCAATGAACTGAAATTAATGGACACAATCAAATTACCCCATACATACTTGAAATGAAAATCCTCACGCTGCAGGAACAGCAGTGTTCAGCATCAAATTGTGATTGTTGCTTGTGAATAAAGTCTGCAGAGTGGAAAGTATTGTTTTTTGTATGACTTTGATCTTGAATAAAAATTTGCTCCTGTGTATATCAACTCTTTTAAGCATGCTAGAGTTATTTCCATTAATTTGAAGCTGTCGGTCAGGGAGATAAGAGATGGCTTGCCATCCATCATTGACAATCCTGCTGTATGTGCCTGATGCTTTATAAGGCGGCCTGCTATCTAGGGCCAGTGAAAGGTACGTTTGATGCCTACAGTTCACATTTCCAACACATGCTGAAAAGAACCATATTACTACCATAATATTGAATGGATCGTGATTCACAACCGAGCCCCTCAACACTTTTGCTTCAAACAGGTGTACATCTACACGCAGAGCCGTGTGAAGAGATGCGATTGCTGTTTTAGTAATTTTTTTTAAACAACAAAAAAATATATTGAAGTGCAAATATTTTAAATGTATATCACGTGGGGCTTTTCTGCGTGAGTTCCGAGGAGGAAATAGAGCAATTCGAGAGGGGGGAGGCTAACAATGGGCAAACCCAAACATGTACACACGACGGCACGGCCTCCACATCCCACACGGCGCCTCGCGACCCTCTGCGTGCTGACCCCATCTGTCTCAAAAACCCATTTTACAGCAAGTGTGGCGGTATCGATTCTTTTTCCCCTCCAACCCCCTATTTTGTGGGTATAAAAAAAATCACCACGGGAATAAATTATGCATTGGGCTTTGGTGTGCGGTGCGAGGAGTGTGGTCCTGACAGGCGTGGGTGTGGCGGTTGGGTACGGCTGTAATCACACTGTCTCCTCCGCTCAACGTGACGGGACGATGGATCAATCCCGTCACACAAGCGCGATCGCCTCCATGACACGGGTCTCAGCCACAGCAATGACCGCCAAACACAAATAAGGGCTTCCTGTGGGATTTTTTTCCCACTGCCCACCTTTGGATGTCTGTCCCTAAAGGAGTTTCAAACAAAACTTTCGCGTCTCTAACTATAAACGCAATGCCTTGTACAAAAACGTTATGACGTTATTGTTTATATTTGAATTGTTTAACTTCATTCTGTTGTACCTTGACTATAATTGTACAATATTGTACGGTTTTATGAAATGTGCAGACGTAAAATGGGTTTTAATTGTACAGTTTATTTATTTTTGTTTACCAAATTTGGGGATTAGCGTAACGGTGATGGAAACTTTCTATAAGTTTCGTTGGCAGTGCAAGCACGAGGCAATATCTCGAGGCGATATCGGACCTTCCTTCTGCAGCCACTGTGCACTGAATGCTCATGCAGCGGCGCGTTTGCACATGATGAAATACGCAATGATCCCATTACGAGTGATGTGCTGACGATCTCGCCACCATTAAAATTGTATTTCGCTTCAGAACTATCGATTTCCCTTCACGTTTGGGGCAGCTTAAACAGCGACTGTCAAGCCGACATCATAAAGCAACCGTATATCATGGCCGCTGTAAGACTTGGGCAGAGTGCCTTTAATGGCTTTGCTCAAAATGCCACTTCTGCTGAATGCACTATAATGGTTGTAATTTTGATAAGGCGTTTTTGTCATTTCCGTTTTTTCCTGTTCAATTCTTTTCTTTTCTTCTCCTGAATATTGTATGGCTGCAATAAAAAAAAGTTTGCAGAATAACAGCCAAGGTAAAGGATGCAACTGAGATGCTGCACACTACGGAGATGGTGTGATGGGGTCATTTTAATGGAAAATGGTGTAACGAGGCCTTCATCCAGAAGTGGATAGACCATGGCTGATGATAAAGATGATATATTTTAGATGTTAACATGGAAATGCATATTTTGATGGGTATTAATATTATCTCTGAATTCAAAATCTCCATATCGACGAATGTTAACATCTTCATGTCTCAAGCACCAATGTATAGTTTATAGATTTTCGAGAGTCATCATCACGATCTATGGGCAGATAGGCCGCAGGTGTTTGCTGCATATTTCGTTATTTGTTTCCACTTTCCCTGAGAGACATAAGCCTTTTTATTAAAAAAAAAAAACTATTTCATACCAGATAAAATTAAGGAGATGCATATGAATGATTTGCCCATAAGCTTTTGTCATGAGGTCCATTTGCTGAAGAATTGAATATCTCCAAAACAAACATTATTGATAAACCATTTTGCTTTAAGTATTTTGAGAAATAATTAGCCACATAAGCAATAATTAAAACACCACAAAAGGGTTCTTGAAAGATGGATACACACACAGACGTCATCAACCATGATAAATACACTGCTGGATGAAGACCTGCCCACGCGGTCTCCATCGCTCACAATCCTGCAATGCAGCAATCCACATGCACTAATTTCATCACTCCATCTTCTTGATCGAATTACTCTCGGATGCGTTCCATACAAAGATAAGTGAATGATGATGTAAAGGAGTTAAATTATACACTGTTTAAACGTACCAATACAGGTAGTGTAACGACGTTTTCCATTGCAGCTACCTCCTCTCTCAGTACGCACCTCCAGCATCTGCACCAGCTGCAGATGCTGCACCAGCAGTCACAACAGAGCACCCCTCTGAGCTTCCATTCCACTGCGCCGCCTATCGTCGGTGCCCTTGGGCAGCCCTCTTGCAGCCAGGATGGCGTCCTGCCAGAGACCCACAGTCACTCGCTCAGTTGCATCAGCAGTGGCGGCGGCAGCGGAGGGACATGCCCAGTGGCCGCAGTGGAAGACAAGCTCAAGTACAACAGAGTAAGTTACCAAAACCCGCGTAACATTCACACAACTGGCATGGCTTGCCGTTGTGGTGAAGGAAATGCAAATTCTTATCATTAAAAAAAGGTAAAAGTGCAGCCCTGAAATATCTTGTTTATACCACTGATCATGGAAGGGCCTCCACTCGAGGGCATGTGATCTACTTTTCCACACTGACCAGAGGTCTTGGAAGAGATTGGAAACTCTATGCTTTAACCCCACCAGACGTGACCTGCCGCTTGACTGTTTTCTCTTAAGGCGATGTTGTTGTCTATTGTAGCACAGGAGAACAAAAGGCCCACAGCAATTTCCATTATTAAAGAAGGAGCTCTTAAAGGTAGTTTGTAATGTACTTCTCTAAACAAGGAGACATAAAGCAGAATGGACCATTTTAGATTTATCAGGAATATTGGGGATGACTTATGAGACTTAAAGGTTTATTTTTAAAACTATGAAAGAGCCAATTTCATGTGAGAAAATAAGGTTTGCATGAGAGTGATGACCATAAATGTTTGAATAAGAGCTACATACTTGCATAATATGTCTGCAGTGGTCTTACACAGTATAAAGTACTATAATAATCTTATTCACACTGTTGATGGGAATGGAGACTATGAGGACTATAGTGGCAGCACTTATTAAAACAAATGTTACGTAATTTCACTTCCTGCAAATGACATTTGAGAATGCAGGAGTGTTAATTTCTGAAATGTGATCACTTTGTATAGCTAAAAATCTTACAGCAATACTAAATTTGAAACTCGTTATTGTATATAAAAAATAATCAAAACTATTTTAATTTTAGCAGGTAAGCTCACTAAACTTTACATATTGTAGATCTTTTTCAGAAATGACCTGGCAACAAATGATAGCTCATCGATGTGGCTTATCATGTGAACATGAAGAGCAGCCAAATACCCGAAACGCATGTTTCTAAACGTGGAGGGAAAAACCGAGGGACCCCTGGAGAAAACCCCACGTGACCACAGGGAGAACATGCAAACTCAAAATCGAACCCACGACCTTCAGTATACCAGGCGAGATAGTTAACATTTCACCACCGTAGCACCCCCTTATATAAATAATATAAAAGGTAGGGCATAAAACTACAATGATAGAACCTGAAGAAATATTCTTAGGTTTTTTTCGGTAAAGTCACGTAGGTAAAACATTAAAATTAATAAAAGTAAAATAAAATAAAAATCACGACGTTTCGGAGGCAACACAAGCTTCCGTCTTCAAGTGGAACTGTCACAGCCACAACAGCTGTATCAAGTAAATGAGAGATTGCAGGAGCTACCACTCCGTTTATATAATGGTTGGAGAGGGGGGGGCCAAGTACAGCACACTTTTTATTCATATGGTAAGGTGAGGCTTAAGACTAAGAATAGACTGCATAACAAAGGCTGAGCCTTTGTTATGGAGAGGTACGGTTTGTGACTCAACTTGTGACAAGGAGAAAACAACTAAACATGGTAAACCTGTAATAGTTGTCTGTCAAATAAGATTGGCCAAATAAGTGTAGTTAAATCTTTTTTGCATGGTTGATCACATCTTTCCAATGATTACTCAGTTTGTAACCATCATCACGGTTGAAATGATGTCTGTGTTTGTATATTTGTATGGCTTCGTGTACAAACCTTTGATGGTAGCCAGGAGGTTTGCAGAGAACCTTGGTCTCGGAAAAGACAATTTCATGAGAGCCCACCGAGTTGTAGCAATGATCGGCAACGGCCGAAGAATCAGTTCTGCCGTGTTTCAGATCTGACTTGTGCTCGCGGACACGATCAGAAACATGACGTTTCGTTTCTCCAATGTAGCAATCACCACAAATGCAACTCAATTTGTAGACTCCAGGATACTGTAAGTCAGGAACGACATCCTTCACAGATGGAATCAGATCACGGATTTTATGCACTGTACTGAATCGGACTTGGATCTTATGTTTGTTTAGAATTTTGGAGATCTTTTTGGTCACGCCTGCTATGTATGGTAACGTGATAGTTTTGGTCGGAGTTTCATGTGGCTGTTTCTGTGTGGTGGGAGAAACAGCTTGGCGGATAGTGCGGTCAGAGTATTCGTTCATCCTGAGGGCCCGATGTACATGTCTTAATTCACTGGCCAGGTGGTGTTGGTCAGAAATGTCATGGGCTCTGTGGTATAGCGTTTTGATGAGAGAATTCTTTTGAGATGGGTGGTGGTGGGAATCCGGTTTCAAGTAGGAATCTGTGTGGGTGGCTTTCCTGTAGACAGAATGTCCCAAGGATCCGTCAGGCCTCCTCTCAAACAGAATATCAAAGAATGGTGGTTTACCGTCTTTCTCCACTTCCATGGTGAATCTGATGGATGGGTGTCTAGAATTGATGTGGTCTAAGAAGTGGTTCAATGCTGGGAGGCCATGTGGCCAGATGACGAAAGTGTCATCCACATACCTCTTCCACAGGGAAGGACGCAGGGTGGATGTCTGGATGGCGTCTGATTCAAACTTTTCCATGAACATGTTAGCTATAACTGGTGACAAGAGGGAGCCCATAGGGGTACCCTCATTCTGTTTGTAGAAGGTGCCATTCCAGGTAAAATAGGTGTTGGTGAGGCAATGCCTAACCAGCGCAGGTACATCAGAATTCAATCCATGTTGGACTAAGTCCTCAATTATTGTTAGGGTGTCCGGTACTGGGACTTTGGTGAACAAAGATACTACATCATGTTTAGTTGTTTTCTCCTTGTCACAGGTTGAGTCACAAACCGTACCTCTCCATAACAAAGGCTCAGCCTTTGTTATGCAGTCTATTCTTAGTCTTAAGCCTCACCTTACCATATGAATAAAAAGTGTGCTGTACTTGGCCCCCCCCTCTCCAACCATTATATAAACGGAGTGGTAGCTCCTGCAATCTCTCATTTACTTGATACAGCTGTTGTGGCTGTGACAGTTCCACTTGAAGACGGAAGCTTGTGTTGCCTCCGAAACGTCGTGATTTTTATTTTATTTTACTTTTATTAATTTTAGTGTTTTACCTACGTGACTTTACCGAAAAAACCTAAGAATATGAATCCTTGCAGTCACGAAAGCTTCAAATCTAGAACCTGAAGAAAGTTGAGAATGCAAGTTGGATCTTGAAATGCTTTTTAAAATACCCAAGCAGCCTAATGCACACTTCGACGTTGCTATCATATGTCAGCATACTGCCTTAGAACTGCAGTAATATTTCGTGCACTCTTCTCCTAACATGTATATAACTCCAAACCAGTGTAAATAAACCTTCTCCCTTGACACCCGTTCCTCCCCTGAACACTTCAGTTCCAGAAATCAACATGCCCAATGAGCAGTCAGGGGCAGCATTGAGTGTATGCATTTGTACCTGGCATGGGCCTTTCTAGTGGCTATTTTCCCTCGAATATATTTTATCAGCCAATGTAAGCAAAAAATCAAGGCCACTGCCAATACGCCCCAAATTCTGTTGACTGACTTGTACATTTGGTAAAATGTGTGCCGTCACAATTCGCTCTGAGAGTTCAGCACTGTGAAATTGCTACCAATGCTGCTTTGGACCCACTGTTTTGGAATAAGAAGCTTAAGAACTATATTTGCTCAGCAGTTTGTTCCAGATGAAGGCTCACTTTTTACAAATGCATCTCATGGCTGAAAATCCAAGTGTAATTTTGCTTGCATTAATTTAATATTGATATTACACTATAGCAAATGCTACGGTCAGGTAATGTTTCAACCAGGCCAATATTAAATGAATACAATCCGTACTCATATTCCCTCTGACCACTGGCGGAGCCAGTAGGGGGGGGGGTGGCACGTGCCTCCCCCCAATGATCCGATCGAAATGAGGGATTTCGATCGGATCATTGGGAGGCACGAGCCACCCCCCCCCCCCCCCCACTGGCTCCGCCAGTGGTCATAGAGGGAATACGAGAACAGATTGTATTTATTTAATATTGGCCTGAAAATACTGGCTCCGCCATTGTCTATGACCAATTTAATACTCGTGGGATAGAATAATTTTTTTTTTTGCAATTGTTCATAATTACTTAAAGTTGCCATGTTATCTATCTCATTAATAACAAAAAGGTATATGATTAATTGATCAAAGTGTGCTGAAGGGATGGTTAGGGTACCTATGCCTGATTAAAACCCTCTTTGAGCTTAATGACAACCAAAGGTATCTATTTAACTGTACCAGCATTCGCCAAAGTTCAGCTTATAAATTAAACAATACCAACTTTAAGAAGTACCGAATGTAAACGTCATAATGGATTTATGTAATATACATTTGTCTGGGTTAAGCACCGAAGCAGTCTGAATACATGAATATAGAAAATAATTAGTTACATTTAATGCTCATGTTTACACCTATTTGCCACGAAATAGAAGGTAGCCCAGAGGGAAAATTGTTCGTGGAATCTTTCAGTCTGAGAAGCAGAATGACTGCACTAATTCGTCACTATTGGCCCAAGTACCTCCTTAATCTTCATATCGTGACATTGTAATATGAAACATTTCTCAAAGGGTGCCGACTTTACTGTTGGTAAAAGTTGTTGTTGAACCGTGTTTAATTAAATCTGATTTAATTTACTGACAACATACATGATATATATCCTAGATGTTGTCTCTATTTAATTTAAAACTGCCATTAAGATGACTTTTGAGGTATTTTGGCATCCTGATCAACGAGATGTAATTCAACATTTGTTTATATTAATACCGTTATCAGCAGTGCTGCAATCTGTGCTTCTACTGGGTGAGATGGTTGACTTAAACAGATGCTTCATGGTTTTAAGAAAAAACCCAATTTTCACTCTTTCAAAACCAGCAATTCAGCAGTCTTGCGCCTTTGGAATTGCAAATCTATATCTAAACTAGACTGCAGACTGAGCGTTAGTCATACATTATACGTAAAAAAAACTGATAATTTTCCCATTGAAGTATATCTGCAGATTTTCAGTTGTGTCATGCCATCTGCACACAGGATCCCAACTGGCCAAGCCAGAAGCTTTGATGAATATTTCAGATACCGGTCACGAGAGTGGTTTAATGTGCCATTCTTTCGGACCATCATCTGATCAAAGTCAGCCGTAACACTTCTTCTACTTCTGCAATTTCTCTTCCCACTTGGGTGTTGCCGTTTTTGTTTGAAGCCAGAAGAGTAGCAGGTTTATAATCCATCACGCTTACAAAGGGAATTAAAAACAATGTCAGTTAAGAAAAGGGCAATGTTGAAAACACATCCTTGCCAGCCCACTAATTAGAAAGTTTGCAAATCCCAGAATCCATTGTGAGCAATGTATTTCACGTTAATACGAATATAATAGTATTATGACCTGTGTTTCATGGTAACACCATCTGTCAGTTGCTGGCCAGCCAGATAACACCGTCGGCTATTGCAGCGATGGCTGCCAGCTTCACTCCATCCTCCAGCCAAATACTGGCGAGCACCCTGCCCTGCCTGGCGGGGCTCACTGGACAACTGGTCACCACCGCTGAGGGCCAGGTGTGTGGAGCAGCAGCAGTGTCAACAGCACTCATCCCAGCCCAGACACATACTACCTCCCATACTCATCATCATCAGCCATGATCAATCCTCTGGTGGATAAAGACCTCTCCAAGCCATCACTATCTCTCAAAATTGCGCAATGTAATAGTCCACCTAACACCTGAATAGGGGTTGGTTTCCCTCTTGTACCTGACTAACAATAGCATAAGCATGGTTACAAACTTGTCACCTTTGTTTGATGATGCAAGTTATTTTATGATGCTGCATTGGTAGTGGTGCACGAGTACAATTGACAAAACATCTCCACACATACGTGAACAACAATGCCTTAAAATAATAAAATATAATCAGTGAAGTTTCTGGCAATGGCCTTTATAGCTCATTATTATAATGATCATCATGGTCATTCTCAAGATCATCAATCAATAATTATCATAATCAACTAATTGATCAAATACAGATATATTATGGACGTACCTGATTCTTATTCATATTCCTTAACTTTCGAGCTACAGCTGTAAACACATTCCCTCCTATGCTCAACTTAGATAACACTGCATAATGGCATACAACCACCAAGCTCAAGTGAGTGTCCCACTGGGAGAAACATCATAATACTTGACCATCACCAATACTGCACTTTCCAAACTGTTGGGTTTTTTCGTTTTCCAAAGTAATACTCTTATATAAGCGCGCAACTTTATCTATCTGTAATGAATGCTGTCTTTTCGTCGTTTTCATGCAGAGGGCGCTGCAAACCTACGCGCCCCCTGCATGAACGACGGAGGCACAGGGACAGACGTTTGATTATGTTGGAATCGATCTGCAGATGGCGGTCTTCTCGCACGGCCAGCTCTATGTCGCCTTATCTCGATCCCGCAATCCCAAACAGGTGAAAGTCCGAATCGAACCGAACCCCCAGCAAGGCCATCTACTTAATGACGAGAGAAAATTCACACGAAATGTCCTTTCAATTAAGTCTTCCAGATGTAAAATAATATAAGCTTGTAATGAAGAAATAAAATGATCTAATTCAAAACATAATACAATTCAAAGATGTTTCATTTTTCAACTTCAAAACAGGAGCATCGGATGCTTGCGTGAATGCGTCATTCGTGTGCAATTTTTTCGTGACTTTACTGGCCGAAGGCCGTAAATGGTTGTGAGGGGCGCCACAGGTGCCCCCGAACAACCCCTTGTATTTTAATAAACTTGCAAATGTACAGCACACTCCAAGAGCAAACACAAAAGCACACATTCATGCAAATTGTGCCATGTGTGAATGTAAGGTGAGCTAAGCAGGGGGGTGGGGGGGATGAGGCATAAAGGGAGATGGGGCGTGGGGGGGAATCTAAGGTAAGACTCCCTTGATAACAAATATCCTCTTTTGCTGTGTTTTTTTGTTAAGAAACATGTTTACTTACAAATGCCACCATTGTGAATTTCAGATCATCGGAGCCATCCCCCTGGTAGGAGGTGCAGCTGGCACTGCGGCTGGCTCAGCGGGGAGTGGGGTTATGGGCGGCCTGGCGGTGCAGTCCATGACCCCACAGATCCTGACCAATGGACAGGGCCAGGTGGTGGCCACCGTCATCGGCAACCAGATCCTGCCCGTGCTCAATCCACAGGGCATCATGCTGTCAGCCATCAAGGCCAGTCAGCAGCAGGTAGGCGTGGTTTCATGACTGAGAATGTGAATGGAGGAGTCACGGAAATTCCTCTGAAAAATATTTACTCTCATAATGTCATCATCCACAATCAGTTTTGTCAGGACAATAAATATTTAATATACACACACGCACCATGCATGCCTATTCAAGTATCATTTATGTATTTGGTAACATGTATCCTTTACAATATATACACCGTAGCGTATGCACATCTAGAGAAAATAAAACACTGCACTCACAAAGTTTCCGATATACGTACGTGTTTAGCAGTATTTATTATATAAAAATAATAACATGATACTGTTGCCAGTGGTGTACAAGTGAAACGACTCCAACAGGTTGGTTGTAGAAAAGGTGTGAGAAGATTTTATTATCTTCTGCAGCGTGCGTTCATGTAAATTTCCACCATCAAAGTGCCCCGAGCCTTCCCTGATCCTCTTCTAATCTCAGCTTGTTACCTGTATAAAAGACACCTGGGAGCCAGAAATCTTTCTGATTGAGAGGGGGTCAAATACTTATTTCCCTCTTTAAAATACAAATCAATTTATAAAAATTTTGACATGTGTTTTTCTGGATTTTGTTGTTGTTATTCTGTCTCTCACTGTTCAAATAAACCTACCATTAAAATTATAGACTGATCATTTCTTTGTCAGTGGGCAAACGTACAAAATCAGCAGGGGATCAAATACTTTTTCCCTCACTACATCTGACGTCATTCGTCTCCCTCTACCAAAAGCAAGTGAGCTTATTCGTAGGTGCACTCTTTCCGTCAATAGGGATCCATGTTGCTCGTTGGCCTGTTGTTACTGCCGCGCCTGAGGGAGGGGGCGGAATAGGTGAGAGAACTGGGGTCTACAACATTGACCCCAGATGTGGCGCCACATCCAGGCAGTGATGATGAAGTGGCAGCGAAGATGACATGTAATGTGGCTTAAGATGGCTCGGATGTACGAACCATCGACGATGTCCCAGTTGAATCCGCACACATTGAGGCTTTAGCACATCCACAATCCTAACAGGCCCTTGCCAAGAGCGATGCAACTTTGGCGATGTGCCTATCGGAACCTGAGGACAATGGAGCCATGCAAGGTCCCCCACCTTGAAGGGAACCGGAGTAGCACATGCCAACCTCCGACGCTCATTCGCACCCTTTTCCGCAGTCGATGACGTGAGAGCAGCTGTACGAGCCTCCTGCAGTCTCTACAAGGGCAGGCGAAGAGCAGCCGACCAAGAGACCAATGTGCTTGGAAGTTGGACTAATTGACTGTCAATGGGTGGCTCTGGTTCTCTGCTGTACATTAAGTAGAATGGTGAGAACCCGTGCATGCATGTGGAGCCAGGCAGTAAGCCGCCAGTATACCTCGTATATGCATGTCCCAATCTTTTTGGAAGTCTGAAACAACATGACATAACATATTGGACAATGTGCGATTCAGTCTTTCCACCATGCCATCCGTTTGAGGATGGTAGGGAGACATTTGGACCTTCTTGGTACCCAGTATGTTACAAATGTCCTGCAGTAGTTTGGAGGAAACTTTCTTTCCTTGGTTTGTAAGCAGCTGTTCTGCCGCTCGCTTGTTCAATGCATACCCCTGCAATGAAAGCAGCAGTCTGCTCGGGTAAGGGCCATGCCATGGGCCAGTGGGTAGCATATTCCAAACCCACCAACAAATATTTGTTCCCCTTTGTGGTGCGTGGAAACGGGCCAAAAATGTCCAATGCAATGAGCTCATTTACCCGTTTTACTGTAATGGACTGCAAGGGTGGTCATATGGGTTGAGTGGGTGGTTTCCGGCTAATGCACTCCAGGCATTCCGCTACCCATTTCTGCACATCTGCGCCATGCCCCACCAATAGTAATTCTGTTTCAAAGTGAAGTGTCTTTCGGTGACCCAGATGTACCAAGCGGTTAACGTGGATTTCGTGGAATAGTTGTTGATGCAGAGCTTCTGGAACTACAAGACGCCTCTGAGACTTGATATCCCAATACATAAGCAATCCGTTCCACACAATGAAGTGCAGCTCTGGTAACGCCTCCCCTTGCAGTGTGCTTGTCTCTGTCCGTTTTCATAGCACTCGCAAGGAGCCATCGGTCGATTATAGCATGATCCATTCAAGTGTAAGTGCCAGGTGACAGTATGTTGGAGCCATAGCGTGACCGTCCCCTGTAGACTGCACCGGCGCAAGTGGACAACTGCCAGTAGCTCCCTGCGGGTTACACAATAGCGTTACTCGGCCGGAGACAGCACGTGACTGAAGTAGGCTATGACCACCTCTACTCCATTCTGCAATTGTGACAAAACTCCCCCGATGCCTACATCAATCGCATCAGTGTCAAGAATGAATGGCAGAGAAACATCAGTGTATGCTAGAGGCGGAGCCTTTGGCAACTGTTCACGCAAGGTAGTAAAGGCCTTCTCTTCGGCCTCTCCTCAGTGAAACCTCTGTTTTTTGGCAGTCAGTGCATGCAGGGGCTTGGCAATGCTCGCAAACTGCAGCACAAAGCAGCGGTAATACGACACAAAGCCAACAAACCTCGTGACCTCGGCATATGAAGTTGGTGTCAGCCATTCCCTGATGCAAAGTGTTTTCTCTGGTTCTGTGGCAACTCCTGTGGCGCTAATGACATGTCCAAATAACGAACGGACGACTGCACTAAGTGACATGTGGATGGTTTGAGCATAAGCTGGGCAGCACACACTCTAAAGAAGACCTGTCTCAGTCTATCTTAGTGCTCCTCGAAGGAGAAGCCAAAAACAATCATCATCCAAATATATGGCATTTTCCCTTTTAAGTCCTGCAAGCACCAATTCCATGAGTCTCTGAAACATCACCGGCGCTGTAAGTAACCCCATGGGTAATCTGTTAAATTGGTAAAGTCCCTGGGGTGTTCTGAACGCTGTCTTTAATTGGCGTTCAAAGTCCAGTATATCCTGGTGGAAGCGCACGCCTTGCTCCTCCGAGTACGCTCCTATGTTCTCCTTGAATTTATAAAGATGACTATCAAGAATTTGGACTTTGAGGGACATCCTACAGCCCATTGTGCCATCATTCTTCACCAGAGTCTCAAATAGCTCCACATAGTTTTCAACCTTTTGATTGCCCAGGAAGCCACGAACCACTGTGGAAAAGCTGTTCCAAACCGCTTTCTCCTTACTAGTGAGCTTCTTGGGGAATTCATTGCACTCCAGGATCTTCTTTATCTGTGGTCCGATGAAGACCTTTGCCTAGACAGCTTAGGGAAGATGTCTTGAAGGGACTTCAAGGCTGCTGACTCCTTATCTACAGCTCTGATAAATTGTTTCATGAGGCCCAATTTGATGTGCAGTGGTGGAATCAGCACCTTCGGGGGTCCACCAGTGGCTCCCACTTGACGTTGTTCCTCCCCACAGAGAACTATGTCCGCTGTGGCCAGTCCTGCCTTGGTGTCCCTGCTGTCCCAAAGGCAGGGAAAGTTGGTAAAACCACCTTGGAGACCCATCAGGAATGCCACCATTTTGAAGTCTCCGATGACCTCCCAGCCGTACTCATCATACTTCAAGGCGTCCAGCAAGGTCTTGATACTGTTGTAATCCTCTTTGAGGTGCACCAAGTGAGCCAGGGAAAGAGACGGGTACATGTTACCATTATTGAGCAGCACGGCTTTGAGGCTTCTGGATGAGCTGTCAATGAAGAGGCACCACTCATTTTGGTTACAGGTGATTCCAATTGCCTCAAACAGACTGGTCACATTGTGGCAGAAGCAGAGCCCATCTTGACGGGTTAAGAAGCTGCAAAAAGGTTGGTGACACTTCCTCTGATCTGCGACTTGCACACTTTCATCCAACAAGTTCCACTGCTTGAGCCTAGCCATCAAAAGTGCGGCATTGGACTTGGTGAGACCAAGATCTCTGATCAAGTCGTTGAGATCTTTTTGGTTGTAGTATGGGTTCTCTCCTCAGCTCCACCTCTGAAATTGTCATCTGGATCTACAATGTCATCCTCGCTCTCTGAGTTGCTGCTCTCTGAGTTGCTGCTCTCCTCGAAAGACGGCTGCTCTCTCTCCAGAGGAGTGGGTACGGGGAGCTCATGGCAGTGTGGCACCGGGGCGATGGCTGAAGGAAGGTCCGGATACGTGATAGCAGGTGCATTCTTGCCAATCCGACGTTTGGAAGGGTCCACCATGCAGAAGAAGCAGTTGCTTGAGTGGTCAGTGGGTTCCCGCCAAGTTCTTGGGATAGCGAACTTCATGGCTCTCGTTTCCCCTCTGTACCATCCTACAAAAATACATTTATTTCACCCATGATTAATGTGTAAGAGATTCTCGAAACATTTTTCATATATATTTTTTCCAATAACATTGAAAATTGTAAAATATTTTGAAAGAAAAAACTTTTACAATTTTTTTTTTACAAATTGTGTAACATTAAATTCCGAGCAACAATTGTCCATCTTACCTTCCAGAGTTTTTTGCATTGCTTGCAAGTGAAATGAGGTGCCCAGAGTTTATCTTGATCCCCGACAGGCATGCCGAAATATTCCTTATAGGCCTCACACATCTTAGCAGATGCTTCCACAGAGTACTTTTTCGCTCTTGTTTTTGATAAATTGGCCGCAGACATAGCAAAATGCGTCTGCCAGATGCTTGCAGCCTCTTGATGCCATCTCAGAAAAATGCAGATATGTATCCACTTAGGCAGCTGGAACTAAACTGGTGGGCTTAAGGCCCCTGTAATTATACTACTGTAGTGAGTTCAACTGAGTTGCAGACGTACTCTTTGGAGGCAACACATTTATGAATACCAACACAAGGGGTAACTGCCCCTTAACAAGATAGCAACCTAAGGTGGTGGACCACCAGGCTAACTACACTAATTACACCGTAACTAGCTACAATGGACCGGACCACAGCTCGGGTCCCGGTCCATGTGTTGGTGACTCTGTAGGACGTAGAACGTAGATTCTTCAGGATGAACAACAGCAGTCGGTCCCTCTTGGGGACCTGGTTGATATCGTCTGTGGCATGGCTGGCCCCGCCACGACCACCTTCTGGAATCCTCGAGCAGGATCTTGACCTGACATGTGACCACCCCTAGCCCCCACTTGGGAGCCCTGTGTAGACTTAACCGGTCAAGTGTCCTCTGGGGTCAACCAGTGCCATGGCCTATAGTAACCCCATTCCCTTGGCCGGCACTCTCACACCCTATCCTGTAGGGCAGGGGTCCCCAACCCCCGGGCCACAGACCAGTACCAGTCCGTGGCCTGTTAGGAACCGGGCCACACAGCAGGTGGTGAGCGGTGAGTCCGCGCGTGGCCCGCCCATTATTTTATTTACCACTTCCATCCGCGCCTCTTTCCTGCACTGTGCACTTGTCTCAGTCACAGTTTTGGTAAGCCCACAAGCTAACCCTAGCAAAAATGAGTTAAAAACAAACGTCGCTGGAGAGCTTCTTTGAAAAGGGGGAAAGACCCAATGATGAACCCCCCCCCCCCCCCCCCCCGGTCAATGAAAACATTGTCTTCCACGAAACCGGTCCCTGGTGCCAAAAAGGTCGGCACTGCATGCAGAGCGTGGTGCCATCCAGCACTGTCAGTCAGCGCTCACCGAGCCCCTCTGGGGCTGGTACTGCACCTATATATATGTGGTGTCCGCGATATTTATACATCGCACGCCGTGCCTCTCTAAGGCCGGCATTACACAGTGACATCCGCAATGTCACTACACTGTTATTTATATTATTGTAAAGTTCTAGAATGTTCTAGAAGTTACTCCAAGTTTACTCAGCACTGAATCTATCTGGAATGTTCTGAAAAATAGGTAAATTTCAAAATATAACTGTCCTGGTCACTAAAGCAAAGTTGGTGGGGAATAATAGCCATTTTATGTACTTTTGAGGCATAAGCAATTAGGAAATAACATTTACAAAACATTTAACATGAAATTCAACTTCCGTCACGGTACCCCAATACCCCCCCTCTCCTGCATAATGAATAGATGTTATCAATCGTCTTAACTCAGCCTAGCATCCGCTCCCCCCCGATTCCACACGGCACCCCCCCCCCCCCCCACCTTGGCTCCTCCCCCCTCTTACCCTATATAGTCGCGTTTCTCTATTAGCTCTCTTCACTTACTACAGTGATTTTGGCTGTAACAGTTCCACCTGAAGACGGAAGCTTGTGTTGCCTCCGAAACGTCGTGATTTAATTTAGTTGTTTTCATTTATTTTAATTTATTTAAATTTTTTACCTACGTGACTTTACCGAAAAAACCTAAGAATATGAATCCTTGCAGTCACGAAAGCTTCAAATCTAGAAATGTATGTTCATGTTGGTGCTGCTGCTAATTCCAGCAACTCCAAGGGCAACACAGGAGCCAAGTTTCCCCGCAGCACACCCTGATGGTCGGACCGAGCCAAGGATCCCCAGTCCCACAGCCTCTCTCCCCAGCCTCGCCAAGCATTGGGCCGGCAGTCCACAGTGAGTTCTCATGCACTGTTCAATAAACTAACACGTTCCTTCAGAGTGGGCAGGTAGGAACTTGGTTGGACAGCGCATTCGTGCGATCCGTGTCACGCGGCGCAAGCTGCGTGGGGCGGCGTGTCACGTGGTGCTGAGCCCGCCCGAAGCGCTCTATGAAATACAAATCGAGGGCGTGGCTATGCACGACAGACAGACAAATAATTCCTGGTGGGCAGTGTGGAACTGTTGTTCCTACCTGTATCAAAACTGTTAAACTATGTATATGTGTTTTACCAGGTAAGGCCCACTGAGCTAGATAGTTATTATTCAGAAGCGACCTCGCCATAAATGATAGCCTAATGAAGTGGCTTATTTTGTGGAAATTTATAACAGCCAAATACTTTAAACGCATGTGTGTAAATGTGGAGGGAAAAACTGGGGGACCCGAAGAAAAATCCATGCGACCACGAGGAGAGAGACATGCAAACTTCAAATATACATGCGTCGAGGTCGGGATCGAACCTATGACCTCCTGTATACCAGGCGAGGTAGTTAACATCTCGCCACCGTGGCACCCACAAAGACGCACCCACTCCTGAAGGCTGCCGTTACACTACAGGAAATTGAATTAAGCAATCAAAAAGCACACGATAGAACAATAAACAATGATCTGTAAGAAGGAAACTTCAGAATCTGCAATATTAATAATATTTTACAGTAATGACATAATGCACAAATTACCTGTGTGTGTGCATGTTCAGACCCCCAGGGTGCTTGCAGCGATATCGACAACGTGAAGCTGGAGGAGATACGCGAGTTCGCTCGTGTGTTTAAGATCCGCCGTCTCTCGCTGGGGCTCACGCAAACACAGGTTGGACAGGCCATGAGCAGCACCGAGGCGCCCGCCTACAGCCAGTCTGCCATCTGCAGGTAACTGGCATGTAATCTTGCCAATTTGCACCATTCTCAGAGAAACGGTTCATTCGGTGATTTAATTGGTAAAACATCATGTGAAAGCTGCAGCAATGATGTGATATTTAACGCTACTACAATACATTTTTCTACATCGGATTCTTCCATATATCCTATTTACGTGAGTCTATTAAAATTGTTACAGTGCAAGCAGCCAAGTGAGACTCTCTTCTCTCTCCGACTCCCGGCAGAAACGCCCTCCTCATGCGAGCCGACGTGTTCCTGCCGGCCTTCGGAGCAAGAAGAGGAGAAGGGATTAGCGATGGCTGGCCTCTTGCTAGAGATAATGCTAGCACTACTAGCACAGCCAGTTCCACACCGCCCATCAAAATGAATCCCGGGCTTTTATGTCCCGCCAGGTTCGAGAAGTTGGACATCACACCTAAGAGCGCGCAGAAGATCAAGCCTGTGCTTGAGCGCTGGATGACGGAGGCTGAGGCTCGGCAGCGCACCGGCCTGCAGAGCCTGAGTGACTTTGTGGGGAGCGAGCCATCGCGGAAGCGCAAACGCCGCACCTCGTTCACGCCTCAAGCACTGGAGGCGCTCAACGCTTACTTTGAGCGCAATACGCACCCGTCTGGCCAGGAGATGACGGCCATCGCCGAACACCTGTGCTACGAGCGCGAGGTGGTGCGCGTGTGGTTCTGCAACAAGCGGCAGATGCTGAAGAACACCATCAAGAGGCTCAAGACTCACGAGCAAACGTTGCCCATGCCGGACAATACGTTGGTCGTGGCCCCCGTGGAGCCGACCATGGATGGGGGTGACTCCAAACCAAAGAAGGCATACACCTCTCGCCCGTCATCGAGACCACTTCCCCCCATGCTGTGAACAGAGGCGCGTGCGCAGCTTGAAGAACCGTCGAACGTGCACAGAAAGATACGCAGCACTCACACTCTCGGTGCTGTGTGCTGCATTGTGGTGTAGAGACCAACTTTAAAAAAGTAAATTTATAGACGGGGCATGCTTTATACCGTATTCTTCATATTCTAATAAACCTAGAGGCAATCAAATGATAAACACATTTTATAAGTTTCACGTACCATGTTCTTACAACACACATTAACTGAACAAAAGACATTAAACACATTTGTGTCATGTTGGCAGATACTAAAGGACAAAGCACCTATCGCTCTTAGCTACCAGAAATGGCATTGCATTATGCCATCAAGAGTGACCTATGCTTCTCATTTCTATGCATAGCTTTACCTGCAGCTAAGCATATTTTAGAGGAAAACATATGACATACACATTTTATCCCAGCGACTTAGATATTAAGGATATCCTCGTTTATTTAAGGAATAATTGACCATTATTGTGAAGCAGTATAAAATATATTTTTGGTCTTTTTTATATTGTATATATGGGAGGGTACCCTACTAAGATCTACCTGTGAGGTATATCTTCACTGTTGCAGTGTGCAAGCTTTAACATTACAATTGTGTTGGTGAGAAGTTTCGAGCCAAAGAAAAGTCTAAATAAACCAAAACCAACATCACAATGAGAAGCCACAGAACAATCTTAACTCGTTTACAAAGCGGTGTAATGATTCTTCACGAGAGGATGCTTGCGCACCATTTTGGTCAGTTAAACATGAGCTCAATATCGCAGAGGTTGTATTTGTATCAAAGGGAGACCCCGTGACATGAAGAGTGTAACATTCATGAGAGCTTTAACCAAAAGAGTTCGTGTAGTTTTGCACATGAAATGCTACCTCCGTAGCATTGAATTCATTTGGACTAAAGTGTTGTGCTCTGTGCAATCATTGACCACGCAAAACGAACTTCACGAGACTATGTAACAAAACATGTTTAGCTTTAATAAAATGTCTACAAGAAAAGCAAAACACAGGGCGTTAAATACCTCAATGCAGCCTGTCCTTCAATTACGTACTGTATCACCAAAAATATATTTATTTGCTCTTAAACATAGTGTATTTTTCCTGAACGGCAGGTGGCTCACTGCAAATTGACTGTTTATACCAAGGAGGAGATTGCCTTTAAGGAACCGAAAAGTAAACCAAAAACGGCCCGAACATTAATGCAACTGTGAAGGAGTACGATTATTGCCGTCCAGTACGTTTTGGGGCTGTACCGCGTGTTGTTTGGCACGGTGTCCAACGTTTCGCTCCTCGCTCAATTGAAAACTTCCTTTTAGTTTCTGAAATCAGAGCTGTACAGCCCAACCGTGAAAATGCACACAGAGGAGATTGTGAATATTGATCTGCTCTATGTGCTCAGTGCTAACATACAGCGGTGGGCTATATTTTGGAACAGCTATTTAGATATTACGTGTGTTACAGTATCGTATGACATTTGTAATCCTCTACAATTTCTAATTTGATCATTGTAATAATATTTATAAAGTTGTATAATATTTTGGAAGTATTTCCTTTGAAGTACCTAATTACCTAAATGTGTGTGTATATATGATGTGTTAATATAAACATAGGCAAATAAGAAATGTAATTGGAATTACTCTGAGCTGTGATTTTTAAAATGTTAATACCAAAGTGTTGCTCTGCATCCAGGAGATGTATACAAGTTAAAGCAACCATTTCAGTATGTTCTGTCTGAAGTAGTTTATGGCAAAGCTTGCATGCCAAAAAATAGGCAATTAATGACAAACAATTTCGACGTTTGCCCTTCTTACTACGGCACGCAAGCCAAAACAATGTTGTTTTTAAAGTAACGTAAATGTATATGTATGCTGAGTCACACGTACAAAACTTGTGAGTAAATTTATTGAATTAATGTGACCTGAAAGTATGTTGAACTTCTTTTGCACTGTACGAAGCCAACCACGCGAATCTGAGTTGCGGGGTAAGGACAACTAAACACAAAAAGTAGTTCTAATAATATATAATGTGTGGTGCCAACATTAGGATGATACGCGCGTTTTAAATGTCTCACGTTTTGTTCCCCGAGGTATGCTTGAGTATGGCGTGTGCGTGCGTGTGTCTGCGGTTGTGCACCTGTTCGCGTGTGAGAAGAGTATTGTATACGTGAGCATGTCGTACGGCATGGAATAATGTAAGGTCCCAACACTCCCCAAGTGTACAGAGTGCACATTGTTCACTGGGTTGAAAAGGAACCAAAGCAAATTGTAGATTAGATTTGTCATTTTACGTAATTACATGACTGTAATACTGTGTTTTCAATCTAGTGATTTTAACAAAAATACCATAGAGCATTTGTATAATAAATATACAATGGAGAACTCGTGTGTTCTTGGACAGTCTTGCTCATAGCGCTGCACTCTACATGTCAGATCTGAGTTTAGATATTTGTTGTTATGTCATTAGTGCTGTTTACTGCTGTTTTATAAGTAGCTTTAAATTTCCTTTTAAATTCAAGATATAGCAACGGCAGGAAAAAAATGTACTTGCACCTTAACATATTTCCCATATCCCATCGTCCACAACGCATGGCACACTATGTAACTAAAATCAATTCAAATTGGTGTTTTATTTTTTTTACAGATAAGACATTTAGATGTTTTTGGTTGATACTTAAAAAAAACCCTGATAATTGGTGTAAATGTATTTCCTACTTAAAAAAAACCCTGATAATTGGTGTAAATGTATTTCATACCCCAAGTGTTATATAGTTAGCAATTTTTGTATTGCTTTATCGAGACTTATCATTTGTGAACACTACATAACGATGCACACTTCTTGTTACGAGTGCTTGCTATTATAAGTTTTGTGGCACAGCTTATTATATGACAATTGACAACATGTAGCAGCCGTTTATAATGATAGCATTGATACTGAGGCACCAGACAAATACAAATTATCTCTGGCTGCAGTCCAGGCTGCAAGAAGGAACTCGGAGTAATCATTGAAAAGTCCCTACACCTTGCGCATCGCTCCTCACTGGTTTCCATGGGTACAAGCACGGCGTAACTTTTGTTCACAAGGCTCCTGTTATTTAATTGTTCCTTGTTAAGCCTGGCCACAGCATATCGTGCTACATTTATTGTAAAGGTAACATATGTTGGTGTGATGTGGCAAAACTTTGCGTCCCTGGTTAGGACATTGGTCAGTATCATACGGCACGGTATATATTATTATGGCATAATGCTGTCTTACAATATCATATACCATAGAGCAGAACATGAGGCCAGTGACATGCAATCATGCATGATGGCACTTACCCGGACCAGCCTGTATGAGGTTTCGAACACCTGGATCTTTGCCCTTTTTTAGGTGGGAATGCCTGGAACTGCCACTGCTGGTGGGAAGCTCCGTAAAGTCGACGAACGTATGACATGTATATATATATGCTGTTGTGGTTTATATACGCTTTCTGTGCCAATATATCACATCATAGCACAACCGCTGTTGTGACATGTGACCTCGTCACGTGCAAGTCCATTCCTTCACCCATCATAGCTTCCGATGCAAATGGCAAGCCATATTTGCACAAGAGATATACTCTTGCCATCCAGGTTGGCTTAACATGCACGGCCTGATAACATCTAATAAAACTGAAAACTCGAAGTATAATATAGGAAATTTTAAGTCTTATGAAAACTGGTCTTATCAGGTGCTAAACGTTAGGCCAAAAATATTGGGTCTGTTGAAGACCAAAAGGTGGGACATCATTGACTTCTGCTGCCCTTGCTATACCCTTTGTACGACTTGGCAGTATTAAAACGGTGCACATATTAAAGAATGAATAAAGAATTGAAAATACCTTTTAAAAAACTGACCTTGACTTTTAAATGGTTGAGCACACAGCATATATATTTTTCGTTCAAGATTAAATGGCAAGTACAATTCTTCTTCTCAATCAATTTACACTGCTCCTGGGGCAATTTATGACAACCCCTGAGATTGAATTCAAGAAGCAAACGAAGAGGAGGGCGTATGTGCAGATATCCGGCGGCTCTAATAGCACAATGCACGGGTTTGGGCACCAAGACAGCGTGTCCGTGCACATCTGCCACGGATCAAAGGCCGCCACGCCCATGCACGTCAATGCTCGTTACCTCGCATCAATACGGGGCTTGCGCAGTGGGGGGGGGGGGGAGACAGCTCGACTGCTGCCTCCTTTTATCTCGAATGCTCTGTGTTAAGGCAGCCCTCTCCAGGCCCCCAGTTTAGGAGTTTGAACTTGCATCAATGCTGCTAACCATTCACTAGATGCTCATGCATTTCTCGGATTCACAGCTTCTGGGTGGCATGACTTTGAGACCCCCCCCCCACCTCCTACGCATTCCACAAGTAGTGACTAATCCCATATCTGCATTTGCCATAAATATGCTAAATTCCTCTGTTGATATGCAAATTCCTTTGTCAAGGCGCCCTTCCTCCTCTAACCCAGCTTAAATATACGCTGCCTAGCTTGGTGGTGTTTATTCAGACGCTGTCTTTCCGACAGACATGCTCTTCACCTGAGGATGGCTGCTTGCGTTGTGGCCGAAACGTCGTGAGAATTGTATTTTATTATGTTCTATTTTTATTATTTTATTATTTCCCTTCTATGTGACTTTACCGAAACAACCAAGAAGAATGCATATATTATCAGAGTATGTTTTTTTTGTATTCTGACCACAAGTATTGTGGTTAATGCGGACATGATTCCTTGTAAAAGGTGTTTTTTTGTTGCCAGAAAAAAGGGGAAACCCCTTTTCTCATATTTTGGTATTGACAAAGGAGGTCCCCTGATGTAGATGCTCACCGAGCTCTCATTACTTTGATAGTGCATTGTCGTTGAGCTGTACGCCTTTTGGCATCCTCTGGTCTAACACCGTTTGAGACGAGGCTCAAAAGAAAGCTGTCTCTGGTGTGGACCAATCAGTTTCAAAGACAATGCATATATTATCAGTGGTTTTTTTTGCATTCTGACCACAAGTATTGTGGTTAATGCAGACATGATTCCTTGTAAAAGGTGTTTTTTTGTTTAAAAAGAAAAAGGGGACAAAAACTATTCTCAACAGGTAAGTCATTTATCATAATTTCAAATGCTAAACCCAAAAAATGTATGTTCTGTGCTTCATATTTTCCAATTCCTTTATTTAGTTCCAGTGTATACATTAATATGGGTCCTTTACAGTGACATAAAGCTTCAAGAATACAAAATATATCTTCAAAAGATACGTTTTTTAAAGAGTCTGTTATTAAATTAATATGCATTGCATGCAAGCTATGATGTTAAAACATGACACCAATTTCTTTTTAAAAAATCACAAACCATTCCTCTTGCTATTAAGAGATCTCACAATGGCAATTTTAAGCACAAGCAGTAATGATGGTTCACATGAAATGTTACTTTTAATCTCTACAGAAGTAACATCAGCATCAGTGGATTATTAAGGCCACTTAAATGTTACAAAATAAAGTAAACTACATGGTATTGCAATTTTTCATATAAAAACAAGTTAGTGGCTCATGAAATATTCCAGTTATACCGACCGATAAGTGTTGGATACAATGTTTGGTCACTGTTTTTCAGATTAATTTGGCTTTGCTGATCACTTTTGACGGATTATTTTTAATGGGTAAATATATTAATTTGCCACCTTACAGTAAGAGTATTTGGATACAATGCACCGGGCAATATATAGTAGGTTACTGTCAACTTTTGGTTTTACAGTCAGCCAGGGGTAATATTTTTCACACCAGCTTGCAGATTCTCGTAGTTGCAGATAATTATATAGTAAATCCATGCCAATCCGTGCTACAGGCATGTGGATTTCTGTTTGAAAATTGCACCACACTCTTTGTCACTTAGAATTATGACAAATGCACAACATAGCAGAGCATTGCAGTATGCTTCTACCAGTCAAAATGAGTACAATGTATATTCAGAGCGTAGCTTGAGCAGATGACACAATTATTTTTCTTGCAATTTTAAGCTTTTATGAGACTTGTACACTGTTTCACCAGCCTGTATACAGCTATGGAATTAGCTGTCATTTAAGGGACAGTTAAGATTGAATGCCACATGTTCTTATCAACATTACCAAATTATATATTTCGAGGAATTTATAGCGGAATCGTTTTTCTCCCGAAATTATCAACTTTTTCTGCTGTCATTCAGTTGCAATTTGCACGTTATTTTTTGCAATAAAAGATGGTCAACATAAAATAGACAATGTATGTCTCAACTGCTTTATTCAAAACCAGATGGGCATGTGTCCTTTATGATGGTACAGCCCGAATCTATTCCATAGCCACATTGACCTCTACAGACACAAGCTCCAAACTGAATATATTTACTATGGCTTGGAAATTCAGAACCCTGGGTACGTGCACATGTCTGGGATGTACAGCGTGTTTTTCAGCACAGTCTTACATATCATTGCACCTGCTGGGTGCTGCATCTGAAACTTCAATCGGCTACTGAAAAAGCTCTGAACAGGTGGAGCGATACGTTGGATACGTTGGACATCGAGCTGAACAACACGCTGCACAACAAGAAAACACACGAAAGAGCTGTACAGCACAATCGCGAAAACCTACCCAGTGGCGAAAAGTAGTCGTTAAAAAATCTGTATTTTAGCAATTTATTTTATGTACCACCGCTGATTTGTGTTCAGTATAATTTGTCAAACAGGCATGCTGCAACAACGTTTTGGGCAGGATCAGAAAAAACTGCCAAAAATCCCGAGCAGAACCCTCCAGAAAATGTCATTAGACTCATGAGTTTTCCTGGGATAAAACACGTTAGTACAAATGTAAAGTTTAATCCTACGTCAGTCTTTAGTCACCTAACTCACACTTGACCGGTAAGGGTAACTCCACAGCACTCACCTGATATTTTTTAATCTGCATTGAATTGTTTAATTTGTGCCCCAATATATATTTATAGACAAGGCAGTGCATGGTACCCTTGCTTAGATTCATTAAACGTATAGTCTCTTGCCTTGCTGTTGGCGCAAATTCGTGTGAGCCTGTGGGGATATTTAAGATAAAACTACCATTTTAGTGGGGCATAAATACAATAAACTGATGTACATTTACAAAAATATATATTCCTCACCGAAATCGTGTGTAATTTCTTTAAAATCAGACAAAATTTTCCAAATTATTTACGTAATTTAATTAGCAAAAACTAGTTGTACTCGTAATTTGTTGTACTTTACAAGATTTAAATATCACAAAGATGTTCAAGTATTCAGAGCCTGGCTCTGTGGGACCGACACACACATTTTAATTCTCATCAATTGCTGACCGAGGCATCACTGTTTAAGCCTAACAAAACAAAGTTTCCAATTCAGCCATTTCCCAACTGATGAATACTTGGATATTAAATTCAGTGTTTCCAATACATGTTGCATTGCATTCATTGTGGTTTCTCTGATCCACTACCCTCCCTCTAGCACAGTCACCCTCCCCACAAAGAGTTCAGATTCTGTGGGAATCTGCAATACCACAATGCCAATAAAAATTGGAATTCATTTTGAAAATAACATTGTAAGAAATAACGTGGAATTTCGGCTGGGTTATTTTTCTCTTCCCAGTGATGAGCAAACCGGATTGTCGGCTTTCTCTGCATTGCCAGTACATCAATGGTAGTTAGTTGTTTTTATTGGGTAAGGATTAGCAGATAAGATAAGCTCAGCTGAATCTTAAGCAGGGCTTTCTTAATGATTGCAATAAACAATCGTTATAATATGTTACAAGACTTTGGAGCCCACGCACTAATTATAACACAGTAATAATAATTATAATATATTTCAGCATCGCTTAGCAGAGTTATATGTTTTATCCTTGTCCACACACAAAAAAACGTGCCTTAGAAATTATTAAATTGCCCAATGAACATTCCATGATGATAAAGTGCATTAATAATGTATCTGCTAATCATTCTGTAAATTTTGTAGATTATTGATCTTTTGCACTTGAATATTTTTACTCTTTAACCAACTTGTGAATTAAATCACTTATTGCTCCATTATATGCAGTGTTGAGTCACGTAAAAGTATTTAATTGTAGCATTAATGATAACAATATATGATTATACATTATATTACTGCATTATTATTATCAGTCGTAAAAGTAGTAGTATTAGTAGTAGCAATAGCAGTGTCCATAAACGTATTGGCATGTAAAGCACCCATTTGTCGTTTGTGCTATATCCTATCTACTGTGCTGTTTCATACATGTAATGGACACTTCTTCGGGCGAGTTTGATTCTCTGTGAAAGCAGAGAGAGCGAAAGTCGACTCAAACTCTCCTCGTCAGTGAACGTCACTTGCTCACACCGACGCCACATTCTCACAGCCACGGTGCAGGGAAGGGACGCGGGAGGAGGGGATGCAGTGCGAGCGGCTCGACGTGCCCTCCGCAGGATGACGGCCACCGATAACAAAACGTAACCATTGCGGTGATCTCCGAGCAGTATCCACGTAAATACACGCGTGGGGGGGAAGTAGAAGAGGAAAACGGCAGGGGAGGGAAAAAACGCAGGGAGGGAATGCGGAGCTGTGGCTGTGCAGCCCTAGCGCCTGCGAATCTGCTCGTGTGCGCCACTGTTCTCGATGCACAGCACTGCCAGGACGGAGCTGCAGCCGAGGGGCTGCTGCTGCAGGAGGCGACGCGAGGCGAGTGGGGAGGCCTGCCCTGTTACGGCGTTGTCGCCCACACGCCACATCTCGCAGTACTGCGTGACAAGCCGGCGGCCGTGTGCGTCCGAGCCGTGCCATACGTGCTTCTGGGACCTGGGAATACCATGCGCCACACACACACACACACACGCGCACGCATCCACGTGCGTACGCGTGCAACATGATTGTTAAGCTGCCCTCTCCAGCAGCAAGCCATGGGATCACTTCAGTGCACAACAATCAACATGGACATGAATTGAATGTCACCGAGGTTATGCAAAAAAAATATGTAATCTTTGTAACCTATTCAGAGAGTATGAAAAAAAAAACAGCGACAACCTTACCATGCTGGATCCGTGAGGATATCTCGGCCGTCAAAGGAATAAATGGGAACATTATAGTTCAACTGCCCCTCCGAGCCCGAGAATATTTCATTCCAGTTCCTGTATAGAACTTCTCCCTAAAAATCACAACAACAAAAACACAGGAATGAAGTACAACGCCTCCTACTCCTTGCACTGGGTGACTGATAACGATTAACACGTGATTGTGCACAGCAGATAATTTGTGGGCCGATTAACAGCAGTTCTTCGTATGCCAAGGTGAAACCACAGCAACATGAAATCCATGTATAGCGAGGTTATTAAGCCATTCATTATCCCTTTGAAAGCTTGGTGGATATCGTGATACTTTCCACAAATCGGCAGTGCAGGGAGTGCTATATTATGTAATCCGTGTTCATTTGAAGCATTCGTGACTGCAGAAATCCATACTCTTTTGTTCTTTCAGTAAAATAAATATTTATTTTATTTTTCTACCTACGTGACTCTACCGAAAGAACCAAAGAGCATGTAATCCATGGTCTGGCTTTGGTGACAGCAGCAACATTGCAAACATTGCAAATTATTCTTCATTCTTAATTTTATTCTTTATTTTATCAACAGCAGGTGCTATCATCAATTCACCACAAAGTGGGATTAAATTGAACTCAAAACTGATTGTGTGGTCGCTAATTATGTCACAATAAATGTCGTTTCTGTTCATATGATGTTCAATTATAGGGCAGTGTTTGTTATGACAATGGCAGCAAAGCATATTAAGCTTAGCTCTCGAATGTGTTTGCAGGTTGGACCAGAAAGAACATCAGACCTATAGGGCACAACTGGAAAAACCCCACGTAGAAGCATTTCAAACCTGTTCTTGTGCTACACTACACATTGAGTATACATAATTTCTTCTCACAGAAAGTCCAAAACTGCTAGGTTGGAGCTGATTCGGAAGACCGGTGAGATGATGAAATGTCCGTGGCAGGAGTGTAGGCACTCACGCGGAGGTTGATGATGGGCATGGAGTCTCGGTCGGCGCGGCGCACGATGGAGACCAGGTCCTGCACCTTGGAGGAAAGGAAGGCACGGAAGGTACCGTGCAGGCCGATGGCGCGTGCCTGCTGGAAGCACTGGAAGTCGACGCCGCGGATCCCGTGCATGGCTCCGGGCTGCGGCTCATTCAGTGCTATCAGGTGCAGCTGTGCGCACACATCACGGCGATCGTTGAAGCGAGATTTATTGTATGCATGCACTTTGGTGACATGGCACAGCCCAGCTTGCGTATACAATTTTCACAGTTAATTTCACACTATTGTACATGTGACCTGAAAATATTTCGGCACCCGGCACACCACATCGAGTTTACCTGTTGCTATGGCTGTGGCTACTATTCACCTAGCTACTCCAGTCTACCAGTGATAAATCAATCCCTGCAATCAAGCGAAGGGAACAAGGACAGAACGAAAATAACCTTCACACAGTCTATTGGTTAAGTGTATTTGTTCCGGAAATGAAAACTATTGTCATCAAATTGAGGACATCCATGCAGCTTACCCCAAGGCTTATACTTTCACCATCAGACTTGGACGTGTATGTATGTTGAACTTCTTTCGTACCGTACATAGCCAACCATGCTAATCGGAGGTGCGGGGGAAGAACAAACTAAAGACCAAAAGCAGTTCAAAAGAAATGAGCTGTCAATCTAGATTTAAAAGTGCATAGCTTCAGTGGCTTCCTAATATCGGAAAGAAGAGGCATTCCAGACGGCCAGAGAAGCGCATCTGAAAGTGCATGACACAGTGACTGGTTTTGTTCTTCAACCGGGTTTTCAACTTTATTTGTCCTGCACTTCCGATTACCATAGTTGACGACGTACGGTGCGATTTAAGTTCAACATGCATACATACATACATTTGATGGCTAGCAGATACATTTATGTGCTGCCATACCCAACGACAAGAGGTAACGGGAAAACAGAACCCACCCCGGATTGGCCACTGCCGGGAAGTACTCGTGGCGGGCTGTTTTCGTGGTAGCTGATCTCGTGCGACCGGTGTCCCGAGCTGCTCGCCGCAGAGCCGTGCCGGTCGTCACGCCAGTCTCCGTGCCCCCCACCCCCGTGCGAGGGCTGTTGCACCCCCCCATGTGATGCGTGCTGCCCTCCGCTCCCGTGTGACGCACGTTCCACGTGGGAGGTGTGGTGCACATGCGAGCCGCGGTCGCCGTGTGGCTGGGGCAGATGGTTGTCTCCCCGGTTGCCACTCTCCCTCTGGTTGTTTGTGGGGATGCGATCCACTACGGGGAACCGTGGCAGAGGATTGACCACATTCACCACCCGTGAAGACACCTACGTGACAAACGGGCACCACAGAATGCCCCGTTACTCCGACGGAGGCGCGATTCAGATTTCAGTGTGCATCCCCGCTGCTGCTATGAAAGTAGTTTTTAACTGAATCATAAATATTTACACGTAATCAAACGAATATTTGACAAGAATTGGCATTACAATGAGAAGAAATAAAGAGTTTGAAATACCATATACAGTACTCACAGATTCATTATCTTCTCTGGGAATTGGAATGACTTCTCCCAGCTAAGGAAAGGAAACAAGATAAAGTTGATCATTTGAATACCGCTACTCCACATACACAATACACACTGCACACACTACAACATGGCCGCTCCACACACACACAACACTAAAAAACAGATCCTCCGTATAACCTTCAACAGACTGTTGGGGCAAGTGCTGTTAGCGAGCACCTATGATGGCCTGAACGGTACACGAGGGGGTGGATGGTCTGCACCATGCCCGATTTCCTTTTTCTCGCTAGTTGCGATGATTTTACACACTGCACCAGGTCCTCATTTAAGGCTAAGTCTAAATAGGGGTGGCCCAGGACCAGTTAAGATGATCATCACTGGTGTTGGCCGTGAGCAGGAATTGCTGGGTTCATAGTGCAACACGCTAACCGCTACAACACCGCTCCCCACACAACACCACGATTTCACACACACACGCGTACAACACCAGAGCTCTACACACTCAACGCTACTGCACTAAAGCACTTACACTGATCTGCCTCCAGCCATCTCGCACACGCATGTACACCTCGCTGCGCTCCATCACGTACACCAAGGAGCCCTCGACGGAGGAGGAAGCCACGCGGCCCAGCATTGCGATGCTCTGCACCGAACTCACCTGGCACGCACAACGGAAGTGTGGTCAGCAATCTACATCGGCATACCTGTCAACCCCGTATCAGTGCCTACCTTATTACAGACGAATTCAGACCTATTCGTCACCCCGTGCCCTTATAAACCTCAACGTGATCCTACAATGTCCCATCACAAGGGAGAAACACCAAGAAATATATAATTATATATATTTTGCCCGTATTTAAATAGCTGTACACCGTATGGACTTGAAAACTCAATTTCCTTGTACAAGAATACAGATAAACCATATGAGTTGACAGGTATACATCGGTCTAGTTGAAGATAGCTCTTATTCAGAGCCCCATTAAAATGCATAGTGTGTTCTGCCCTCTTGGGCAATATTTGTGTACACTTGATGAACTTTATACTAATAATTTTGGCTTTAAAATTTAAATCATCATTAGCCAAGATCAACCCGCTGCTGGATGAAGGCCTCCCCATATTGTCACCATCCCGCATGGGCCTGCGATGGCAAAACTTATCCCACTCTTGCACATTAATTAATCCCATTGCTCCATCTCTGCTGTGGCCATGATATCAGCTTTGTTTTTTCCTTTGTCTGTTCTTCCATCATCAGTCTCTTCCATTGGCTATCAGCCACTTCTCGCAACGTGTCCTGCCCAAGCCCAATTACTTTTCTCAAAAGTCAATGTGATATCTCTGACTCGCATATGTTCTACAACCAATGGTTCCATTATTTCCGGTCTCTCAGCGTGATCCCAAGCTTCCACCTTTCTATTTTCTTTGTCAATGTCCATGTTTCTGATACAAATGTTATAGCAGGTCATATACACCTATGCAAAGGTTCTTATTTAGGTAAATTAGTATGTTGGTTTTAAAATAGAAACTTCACCAGTTTTATCCTAGTCTGACATCAATAACTTCCCTAGGTATACATACTCTGATGTGTTTAACGGTTGATCCTCTCTGTCAGGTATTTTTGTTCATTGTATGTAAACTGTACATACGTAAGCAATTTTTCTCATACTTATTGAACTTCACTTCAGCTTTCTTTGACCCGTTTTTCAATACTTTTTAAATTATTTACTTTGCAAGAATCACAGTTCATTTTAGCTTGGTAATATAGCTGAAAATAAAATGTACGAATCTGTTATTCATTAGAATACGCGTAATAAAAGATTTTAGTTGAAATATCGTACCCCACTGGCTGGCCCAGGAGGCCCAGGGGCGCCAGGTGGCCCTGGGTACCCGGCTGCTCCCAACACACGATCTGCGCACAAAACCACCACACGTTCATTTGCACACGGTTTTGCAAAGCCAAACAACACTTGCACAAAGGATCAACCCCATCCTTGCTGGAAGACCCAGCTACTGGAAGAATAATACGGCTGCACTAACCACCGCCGGCAGCGTAGTCTGATGATCCGGGCAATCCGGGGGGTCCGGGGGGCCCAGGAGGTCCAGGATGGCCGTAACCAGTAGGGCCAGCAGGCCCCACAGGCCCAGGCAATCCCATGGGCCCGGGAATGGAGTCACCCTTAATGCACCAAACACACACGCACGCATCTTTGCATGAACTTTTGTCATATTTTATGCTTTTAATACACATACGTAACTGTATAAACATTGTAAGGGTAAAAGTGCTGCCCTGCAATTTATTGCTCATTTTTATGCCACTGCTGGTCCAAAGACCACCACTAGATGCAGCTCAAGAAAACTCCTCTAGATGGCATTTGGCTGACTGTTCCAGAATGGCCAGATGTATTAGTGCATACATATGTACAGTGCAATATACAAAAGTAACTGATTCAAACACATTCACAATTCACCGAGAGGTAGAGACTATATTGCCTCACTCGTTTACATGGCTGGACCTTTAATTTAGTAAACATAGAGGATATAAATGCATGGGTTCTGACTGTGACGTACAGGTGGCCCGGGCCTGCCAGGATCTCCGTCTCTTCCAGGTGGCCCGGCAGAACCTGGGCCTCCTCCTGACCAGTGACCATACCCTCCACCTCCGGGCTCCCCTTTCTGACCCTGGAGACCAACATCTCCCCTATCTCCCTGCGCAAGACACAAGGCAAAGTGCAGTGATGAAGACAACAATAAAACAATAACAGTACTGCAACGTTAAGATTAAGCACCCAGACGATCATTACCTTGGCTATGTTGCCTCCAAACTCGTTCAGGAAGTTGGAGTAATGGGGTCCTAGACAAAGACAACAACAAATGACAATCATGGCACAGAAAGGGGTCACAGCAAGATAATTGCTGTATCAGGTCATCTGTGATAAAGAGCGGTTGAGCTCATCAGATTCCTCCAGAATAAATAAATATTTTGATTCTGTGAGGCAGCGGTGGTGTGTGAGTGCGCAAGACCTGGGGGCCCGGGCTGTCCTGCCGTCCCCCTCTCTCCTTTAGTTCCCGGTGTCCCAGGAAGCCCGGGGAAGCCTCGCTCCCCTTTCACAACTGCGATGATGAAAAGTGTTTGTGAAGTTTTAGACGGAATGTATCAGGTATAGCCGTTTACTGAGATAAGGCATTTACTGCTTTAACATGGAGGAAATTGGATGCGACTTACTTAAATCTCTTCGAGAAAACTCGCCGTACGTTTCAACCTGAGGACAAATCAGGAGGCAGAGCTTTTTATTTCAAACTAATTACACCTTTCACAGCACTGAAAAAAACACGTGTGTATTCTCTACAGTTAGAAACAAGTTAAGTGACAAGTAGTTTAACAAATACATACACCACACAAAACGAGACATCAAAAAAGTGAGAACCTGGTTGGACGAGAATCCATGACCACTGGGCAATCCTGGGGGGCCGGGGGGGCCAGGAGGACCAGGAGGCCCAGCTGCGCCAGAGGATGACTGCAACGCAACACAATTCGGATTCACCTCTGCTGCATTGTCTTTCCCTATGTAACATGTGCTGTGTTGTACAAACCGAGCTGAAAATTACATTTGAAACAAGGTAGTGCGATGCTTACACCAAATCCAAATCCTCCTGGCTCTCCCTTGGGCCCATTGACACCAGGCCGACCCTGAAATTCACAGAGAATGACAAAAACACCACATCACAAACATTGCATTGTTCTTACGTTGAATTTATTGATGAATGCCTTCACTCTAATACTCAGTCATAATTATTGATAATGAATGGATTAAACCCATTGACCAATAGGTGTTATATTACTTTCGTATCGACAATTTGCTCATTTATTGGAAGGTAAGCTGACTATTCATTTCCTACCGGACGACCAGGCAGTCCTATTTCCCCTTTTGTCCCTTTTGGCCCTTCTGGTCCCTAAAGAGGAAAACAACATAAAATTACATGTTGACATGTGTTATATACAGTAATCACAGTATAAAGCATTGCATGAGAAAGTAGTGTAAATACAATTTAATTCTTGATAATAAAGTCTGAAAGGTACCATCAATCCTGACGACCCAGGTAATCCGATATCACCCTGTAAAAGAGAAAGAAAACTCTTTATGAACCTCTGAAAATAAACACTTAAAAAGTATTGTACATTATTATTGTTGTATTCTACTTATAAACTTTGCCAGATACCTTAAATTGTTGAGATAACTTGTATGTAATATTCTCTTTAACTTATATTTATCTTGAGGCCCACTTTGAAGATTTATTTATTTCAGTAATTCTATTATTTCCTGCAATTCATTTCAATTGGTTGTCATAATTAAATCATAATACATTTTGAGATGATCAATATTTATGTATTTTTATGTATGTTTATGCCGTGATTTATCCTATGCAATTTCTACAAGATATCTTCCCATGTCACTGCGAGTAACTTTGGTGAACACATACTTATTTGACCTGAGTCCCTTTTTCAAGTTTTTTTGTTACTTTCGGAGAACAAGGATCAGAGAACAAATGCAACTTAGGCACATCGTATTGACTGCTAAGGAACGTAAGTGGCCTCAGGCATGACACATCACGAGAAGGGATGATGGCCCATTGTTGAGACTGATGATAAAGCAGCAGTCAAAGAAGCGACCACGCGAAGAGAAAGACCACAGCGGATATATAACGATGAGATCCAGTCGTGTACAGAAGCCAGATTACTTGATGCATCTTTAGATTGTAAGGAATGGTTACAACTTGGGGATGCCTTCATTAGCAGTGGATACATTATAATTGACGATGTACTACCTTTTTTTTTTACCACAGACTCCCTTCCATGTTCCTTAAATGTTGTATTAACATTCGGTCTGGAAATAATTGCAAGCTATTTTTACATGCATTAAGTAACCATGACATACATACATACAAACACACATACCTTCTGTCCTTTGATTCCAGGTGGTCCTGTAATATCACCCCTGAATCCATCGTCGAGAGCAAAGTAACCTCCAGATTCCCCTTTCTCTCCCTAAAGAAAAAAACAATGTCATCAGTGTGAAAGCAAAACGATAAAAAAAAACATACACAATGAATACATAATCACAAGAATACCTGGAGAATTGCCCGATGATGCTGGATGCAATTACCAGCGAAACGTCGTACTCAAATTGTAAATGTTGTGGCTTCAACACACCGGTGGGCTAAAGCAGTGAACTATTTGTCTTTGTCAACGTGACACATTTTTACTGATTGGCCGTGTCGGGTGGTGGAGGGTTACGACACATTTATAAATAACGCGATCTAAACCCAAAAACGTTGATTATGGACCTATTTTCTATTCACTCAAACATTAGCTGCTCAATATGTGACATAAAAGGGATAGTTATCTGAAAATGAATAGGACATGAGCTGAGCTAAAAGGAGCAACGCTGTTCTCACCTTGATACCTGGCAGTCCGGAATGCCCAGTGTTTCCAAGTTCCCCCTTGGGACCGCGAGGCCCCTGCCATGTAACACGCACGTGCATTGTTAAACACAGGTCCCATCAATCTTGATTTGAAGCTTTCGTGACTGCAGGAGTTACTCTTTGGTTCTTTCGGTTAAGTCCCGTAGAAAAAAAATTTGATTACGATGTTTCGATTGCAACACAAGCAACCGTCATCAGGTGAGAACTGTATGTAAATGCAAGCTCAGAGAGAGACACATACACAGAGAGAGAGAGAGACACACACAGACATGGAGAGACACATACACAGAGAGAGAGAGAGACAAACAGAGAAAGACACACACAGAGGAGAAACACATAGATTGAACCACCTCTACGGGGAGGATTTCCACACAACTCATACTTAACTTCAAATTTAGCATTTTTGTAAGAACGTAATCAACTGGGTAAAGTGTTAACTGTTGTGTTAACCGACTCTCTGTGTTGCATTGCATTACATTTCTAAGTTTGCTAGGTTTGATTTCTCAAACTTCAAATTTCTCTCCCCCTGGCGCAGATCAAGTTCCCCCCTTGGCTCTGCATGCCCCCTGCTGCAGATCCCACCCTCCCCTTGTCTCTCATTGACATGCTAATTTATCTGCCCCAACCCCCACCTCTCTCTCCCCCATGCCGCTGACTTCTCCTGTTACTGCAGCCCCTTCTCCCCACCCCCGCTCCCTCCCCCTCTGGGATCTATATAATACCTCGTCACAGAGGCGTTGTTTCTCTGTGTGTCTCTGTGTGTCTCTCTCTATATGTGTCTTTCTCTGTGTGTGTTGTCTCTCTGTCTCTCCCTGTGTGTGTGTGTGTGTGTCTCTCTTGTGTTTGTCTCTCTGTGTGTGTCTCTCTCCGAGCTTGCATTTACATACAGTTCTTACCTGATGACGGTTGCTTGTGTTGCAATCGAAACGTCGTAATCTTTTATTTATTTATTTCTACGTGACTTTACCGAAAGAACCGAAGAGACAGGTCTCATGATTGCCTGGTACTGTTGCAGCATGGTCTTAGAGGAATAGGATGAATCAACAATGTGCACAAAATCCTTTATATGTCCGTGTATGGATGAGGCTTTTTTATTTACTGAGAGTAGTCAACTTTTTTAACCAGGAGATGAAAAACAAGCCAGTAAGTCGATTCCCAAATTGCACGTAAAATAAAGCAGCATCAATAAAACAACTAAAACCAAAGCAAATCTAAACACGACAGTGCTGATTGCACGTGAAATTCGGAATAAATAAGTAATAGTTCATAATTAAGTATAATGCTAAAAATTACAATGCTCATTCATAAATAATATAACATATTTAAGTTACGTACCCACTTAGTTTGCATAAACAAAACTTTGCTGTGATGTGTTGCGTTCAGCTTACCGGGAATCCAGCTTGACCGGGCATGCCTTCTGCTCCCTGCATGAGAAATTACAGTGTTAGTATTTATAGATGCATCGGAAAAACGCTCATGCAAACAACATAGACACCAATAGTTTTTCTGCAAATGATATACTCCATAATTAATCAAATATTGAGACGCTGAATAAGATAGCAGATGGTTTTATGCAATGGCAATTCTTAGGATTGAGCAATTGAGAATCTTTGTTAAATTTACAATCAACAAGATTACTAGAATAACAATTAGTTTGTCTATTTTTTTATCTGAATACTTTGACATGAAAAACATTGTCTGCAATTATTGGCTCTATATAAAAGAGCCATCATTCCATTCAAGGCAGTAAGCCTTGAAATTCATACCGGAGGTCCAGGGTTTCCTGGTCGTCCCAGAAGTTGCTCAATATCGTCCAGCCCCTGTAGACACAACATCACGGTGAGTAACTCTCCACAACGCAGGTTCATGGAAAAGGTGAGCATGCAATAACCGAGAGGATTGTTTTTGTGACTCCACTTTAGAGAGGGAAGGGCAGTAGGCTCACATCCAGGATATTTGTCAATGGTGGCCCAGGGGGGCCCGGTGGCCCAGGCAGCCCGGGCATGCCGATGCCATTCTGCCCTGGCTCTCCCTGCAAAAGCAGAAAATGCAGTGATTTGGAGGTGCAGCCCAACATTCGTGTTGACAAACTTAATCTACTGTTCTCTTTTTTTACATGGAATAATGCTGTTATTCTAGATTTGAAGTTTTAGTGACTGGTTTTTTCGGTAAAGTCAAATTTTAAAGATTGTCTTGTTAGATGTTTTATGTTTAATTGCACTTATTTCTTGGTCGATATGAATGCAAGTTCTTTTGAGCTATTCATTATACTTTACTTGAAATATATTTTACTGAAATATGAAGTTCCGTTTAAATGTTAATAATTATTATTGCTAAATGTTATTATATTTAGGGTTTTTGTAATAAATGTTATTACCACGTTTACTATATTTCTTTCTTTGGCCCACATCCTCCTTCACAGAGACAGTTCATAAAAACATTTGATTGAATACATTTGGAATTAACATTTATAATCTGTACATACCTCATGTCCCGTTTCCCCCTTTTCTCCTTTGATGCCCTAAAACACACCAAAATACAATTAAGAAAAAAAAACTTTCTTGTAAAATAAAGGCCCATTTAGAGCAGGACTCAGCGCAAAAGGGGGAAAACTTACTGTGGGACCTGGCAGGCCAGGACGGCCATCTTGTCCACTGGGTCCCATGGGTCCCGGTAGGCCGGCTGTGCCCTGGGTCACAGACACGAACGTCACACAAGGTGCCCGGCGTTCACCGCGCCGTGTCGTGCCACTTCTCAATACTCAGTACGCACATCATAAAGAGAGGCGACTTTAAAAGTGAAACATTTTTTATATGTATGTTGGACTTCTTTTGCAACGTACGTAGACAACCGTGCTAATCGGATGTGCGGGGGAAGGACAACAAACAAAACACAAAATCAGATTAAAAAAATGCGTTTATAAAATAGTTAAAAGTGCATAGCTCCGGTTGCTTCATAATATTGGAAGCAAGAGCATTCCAGACAGGTTTAGAAGTGCCTCTGAAAGCGCGCGATGCAGTGGCCATCTTTGTTGGATGGCTAGCCAAAATCCACTGCGATGATGCCTGGATTAAATTATGTGCTGTAGGAAAAACAATAACTCACATCAAATCCAGGTGTCCCTGGATCACCTTTTTCCCCCTGAAATCAGAAAAAAGTGAATATAGAAAGAGATGTCTCAGTGTCAAGCCTATGGTACAGTATGTGTTACCAGTGATGCGTGCGACATGAACGTGTGCTCTGCTACATTCACCATCAGCCCAGGAATGCCAGGCGATCCCTGAGGTCCAGCAATCCCATGAGCTCCCGGCTCTCCCTGCAACACCAGCAGCACAAACGCTGTTTTCTCAAACACCGGGGAGTAAACGTATATTTGAACTAAACTGAAACTGTTCAAAAATGCATTCAGGATATAAATAATCATACAGTTACTTGAGGACCCTAACCAAATGGCTGAGTGTCAATTCAACATGCAGTAAAACAAAACACGAATGTTCTGCTAAATCATGAGATCAATATAAAAAATTCCAAACAAGTTTGAACCAGCCCATCATTCCTTCAGGATCTGCAAATTCAACACCACAGAGTAGAGGTGGGAGAAGTCATGTTCATATGACTGATTTAACAGCATGATAAATTGAAGTAGTTAGTTATGAGAATATTTTTTCCCCTTTTTTTCTGGCAAAAAAAAAACACCTTTTACAAGGAATCATGTCTGTATTAACCACAATACTTGTGGTCAGAATGCAAACAAAAAACATACTCTGATAATATATGCATTGTCTTTGAAACTGATTGGTCGACACCAGAGACAGCTTTCTTTTGAGCCTCGTATCAAACGGTGTTAGACCAGAGGACGCCAAAAGGCATACAGCACAAAGACAATGCACTATCAGAGTAATGAGAGCTCGGGGTGAGTATCTACATCATGGGACCTCCTTTGCCAGTACCAAAACATGAGAATAGGTTTTTTTCCCCTTTTTACTGCCAAAAAAGTTAGTTACGCTTCAGAAAATGTGTTTTACATGTAACACCGTGAGATTGTAAAGCCGCCAGATACCCACGTCTCACCGGTTCATAAAAGCCAGCAGTGGAAGACGCAGCAGGACCTGGGGGGCCAGGGGGCCCAGGTGGCCCAGCGTTCCCAATCAACCCTTGGACCCCAGGGGGTCCCGCTGCTCCTGCCACACCAGCTTCTCCCTGTGCAAACGCACACAGATGCCACACGAGGATCATTTCTCCACTTGCTGAAATCGACTGAACATCTGCATTCATTCAGAATATTTAGCTCTCCATTCATTCAGAATATTTAGCTCTCCGATGTGTTTTGGGCCACACTGTGGTGTGTTTGCCAAAAACACATCAGAGAGCTTTACAGCAGAGGTGTTATACTATTTAGTTAATCATATCAACATTTTCAAAAAAATTGCGTAATATTTTTACGAATATTATTAAACACTCAGGTAAAATGTATATTTTCATTCTTACCTTGGGTCCAATAGGTCCAGGCGGCCCAGCTTGGCCTGGGTCACCCTGTTAAAATGACAGAGTCATTAAAATGCAAGACTTATGTAACATAAAATTACAACAAAAATTTAACTGCACACACGAATAATGTTATATTTGAGGATGAAAAAATATGTACTCACATGTTCTCCTTTTAAACCGTTTAGTCCAGGAGCACCATCACTCCCAGGAGGTCCCTGCAGAACACAATGCCAGTGTGATTCCAGTGCCACGTGAGGTTTACGTGGTATGAGAAAGAAAAAAAGAATTCTCGCAATGCAACTGTGGTCCTGTGGGATGGCTGCATGAAGACCGTTACCCTATTAGCATAGCAGTCACTTACTGGAATCCCAGATAGGCCTGAGGTTCCAAGTTTGGCAATTTCTGAGACGTTCATCCCAAATATGCCAGGCTTGCCGGGTAGGCCGGGCACTCCTGGGGGGCCTTGAGCACCGGGTAGTCCGCGGGGACCGGGGGGGCCCTGCAGTTTGGTGGACACAGGAACAAAATGGACAAGCAAGAGGGCAACATAAGTTTGATTGTAAGATAATGTTTTCATCATTCGAAATGCCAAAAACGTCACGCTGAACAACTTGTGCTGCAATCCAAAAAAGCCAAAACCACGAATCTTACGCAACAATTCGAAGATAATTTTTCCAATACATGTTCATAATTTGTGTCTATTGTGTGCTAACAATGCAAAACTGCAGAGAATAATGGAATTTGTCAAGAAAATGTCATTGCTTTCATCTTAAAGTGGTGTAATATTTAAATTCAAACATTACATCTATGAATTTGATATATTGAAGGCCGAGGATAAGCCAAAAAATAAACAAAATAAAAAAAAGATTCCGCACTCACTCGAACCATGTCCACATCATCGTCTTCTGAGTATCCTGAGCCTTCAACGTTCACCATGTTCTGCAAGCAGATTAGTGACAAAGCAAACTCCGTGTGGAGTGGTGGCATGACAGTAGCCATTCACGTACTTATCGAATGTAAAGTGTTATCTGGTTTGAAATAAATACGTATAAAAACACACACACTTGTGATTAACGAACTAAACAATATTTACAATACTGCATGTAAGAAATACACATGAAATGAAATGCTGTGTTTGGTGTGTGTTTACCTTTTTTGAGTGCAAGTGGCTGTAAAGACTTAAAACTCTTGGAGCACCCCCTGCCACCACCCTTTCCCCCCCGTACGTTTGTTCCTCTTTCCGTGCCTTCCCTTCCCCGTATAAAAACCTACGTTCCCACTCACAGTCCCTACACAAGTGGCGCAGTGAGCCCACTTTTCTCCCCTTCCCTCAACCCTTAAATATTGTGTTCAGGTTTCTGTCCGCGGAATTTCTGTGCCCCCTTCCCATGTTACGGTTTGTGCGCTGTATCGGGCTCTTGATAACCGGCATTGGAGCACATACCACTTTGCGTCCATGTCCTCCCAACCCGGGAGGGCCTGGAGGGCCTGGAAGGCCTGGTGGGCCTGGTGGGCCGGGTGCACCCACAGCAGTATCGCCCTGCACAACAGCCCCAATGGAGGCACGCATAAAGCATTACTCTACAGTGCTGCGTAAAATGATTCATTATTCATATGCCCATCGTGAGACAGCAGCCAAGGATTACAATGAAAAAATACGTTCCATTTTCAGAATAAACACGGCCTGCATATGTTATCTATCATGATCAAGTCTCACCTTGTCTCCTTTAGGGCCTTTGTCACCTTGCAGTCCTGGAAATCCCGGAGGACCTTTTTCCCCCTGCACACAAGTCAGTTAACAAGATACCTTCATTCATAATAGGACACAAAAACACACAGCATAGGCATAGATATAAAGATTATATGTGTATTATATATATGAGGCACAACTTACAGGGGATCCGTCTTCTCCTGGGTCACCCTGGAGAGGAACATAAAAATACACGCCAAGGTAAACAAACCTATATAAATATGTATTTTACTTACCCAGGAAATCTAACTCAGTCTCAAGAAAAATTAACAAGAGGGTTTTGTTTGGGATGTTTGGTCAACCCTTTACCAAGTATGCTTGAAGGAAAACCACATTTCCCTGACAAATCCCTCAAATACGAGAGAAGAACACTCAACATATCACACACCTCCGATTAGTACGGTTGGCTACATACGATTGAAAAGAAGTTCAACATACATACATACATACACCCAGAATGAGCCACCTCAAAATCATTAGATTTACATGCGCCACCACACACAACAAAACAGCTCTAAGACTTGCCGGTTCACCCTGTGACCCTGGTTGCCCTGGAGATCCCAATGGTCCTGCTTGGCCCGGTGGACCCTGAACCAGCTGTGTGACAGTGCCATCCTCCTGCTTGACCAGAGAGGCGGCTGGGCCTGGGAGGCCTACTGCGCCAGGAGGCCCTGGTGGGCCAATGTCGCCCTTGCTTCCTTTTGAGCCCGGATACCCGAACCCAGAGGAGCCCTTCATGTCAGACACAAGGCACACTTGGTTTGATCTGGTTTTGTAAACAGAATAAGATGTAGTCAGATAATGCATATGCGACTACTCAGTATCTCAGTTCGTCAGAGCACTTGATAATATATTTTTGTTGTTGCAGAACCTACAGTATTGAACAAGACACATGAATGACCTTTGTAAAAAAAAACACAGTGACATTGCTCATCGCAGCAATTGGTGCACCACTTAATATCATGTGACTTCCTTAAACAACCGGCGAATCTGTCAATCACAGGCACTTGACAAATTTTCACTTTCTGATCACTCATGTCATGCAGTGGGGTGGTGGTGGAAGGGCAGGGCCAATAATGAGGGGGAAGTGAAGCCGACATAAGGGTGGCGCTGATGAAGATAGTTGTGCAAAGGACATTTCTTGAAAAAGGGCCATTGTCTGAAACGTGACATATTTCTCCTTTTTAACGGCAGTGTTATAGACAGATCTGTCAAATTTATTTTTGACGTGGACATATGAAGAAGCATTTTCTGCTCATCTAATTAGTTATTTGTATTCTCCACAACAATTTGAATAGTTTTGATTAGAGTGGGGTTGAGTTCAATGCAATAGAGGGTGGGGCAGGGCTCACAGGGAAGATTGACCCCATCCACCGCATAGGTTGCTCTCTGCTGTGGCGTCTATTCAGTGGTGGTACGTACCTTCATTCCGTTTTCTCCTTTGTCACCCTACCAACGAAAACCACAAACTTTCTTTAAAAAAACAAAAACATTTTTTGTTTCACCAAAAACTCTCTCATTCATCAAAATTGCATCATGTCTAGAGTCATGTATATATGAGCATATATTCCAGATACGACATCGAATATCATCCCAGAGGTGGGACTATGAGGGTGAAAAAATGCAGCATGGTAGATATAATACATTCCATTATGACATACTTAACTCGTGATTTGTATTTATGAATAATGAATCTTATATATATACGTGTATACGGTGCATGAAGGACTAATGTCAAGGTGTTAGATGGAAAATAGGCTTTCAATTTCTGTTCACAATCAGGGTGGGGGTAATTTAAAATTTTTTATTTTTTTATTTTACCAGGTAAGGCCTACTGAGCTATAAAGCTATTTTTCAGAAGCAACCTACCCACAAATGATATCTCAACGAAGTGGCTTATCATGTGGACATTTATAGCAACCAAATACTTTAAATGCATGTTTCTGAATGTGGAGGGAAAAACGAGTGGACCTGGAGAAAAATCCATGCGATTATGGGGATAACATGTAATCTCCAAATATAAAGGGGCCAGGGTCGGGATTGAACCCACAACCTCTTTTATTCCAGGCAAGGTAGTAAACATCACATCACCGTAGCGCTCTAAATTTAAACTCTGCAGCTTCTTCAATGAGAAATCTGTTCCGAGTCTTGTATTTAAATGGCCACTTTTGTAATTGCTGGAAAGATTTGTTTTGAACAGCATCCGCTCACTGACACTGATAACACCAGCAGCAGCGACATATCCTCACCTTTTCCCCTACGGTGCCACCCTCACCGTTCGCCAAAACCAAGCCGCTGTTGCCCTTAAGGCCCGGAAGCCCTTGCAGTCCTGGTTCTCCTTTGAAGCCCATCTCACCCTTAGCGCCCTTACTCCCCACATCCCCTTTAGATCCTGGAGATTGGGTTGGGAGTAAATAAGCGGCACAGAGGAAATACTTTTGTGTTACAACAAAGAATGAAAAAGGCATACCTACGTATCCACGGTGTTTCCCTTCATGACTGAAACTTATGACGGGACCCTAGGGTCCCGAATAAACGGAAATAGAAATCGTTATTTATTTATTTATTTATTTTTGGCGACTCTGTCCCACTGCGCACATAAATGCTGCGACCCACCTGGCGCGGATCATTATGTTGTCATGTCGTCCAAGCGCAGCAGTGAGGACGAATGCGCAGAAGAGCTGAACAAGCGAATGCTGCACTCCATGCTCGGGTATGGGCAGGATCATAAGTCTTATCCAAAGCTGCTCAAACTGCCGACACGACTTAAGTCCATTATTTGTCATCACGGTATGCATAATACAGTGAAACTGCTCTGTTATCTTCATTATTATTTGTGACCTACCAATGTCTGCAGCCAGGATCAATCGATGACAATCCTATTATCTACAAATATTTAACAAATGAGATACGTTGCACCGTTAATTTATCCTGTTTGATAATACTTCTCTTATCCATATGCACCATGCATATAGTTTTTTTTTGCGATTAAGTCATAGTCCCCACATACCACTCTGTATCAATGCGGATAAGAGGAGCTGCGACCCACTATTCTGTAGAGTAACATTGGTATAAACCCTTGTAACGATATGAACAGCACATTCAAAACGCATACTATTTTATGTACTGTTTACAAAGTGTGTTCACAAATCCACACTGAGACACACGATGATTGACAGAGTGGTGTACATTATTTTTTCGATAGTGTATTTAAATAGAGGTACTGCAGGTAAGTAGTTTTCAGTTTTAAAGGCATAGTTTAACAAGACAACACTTGCCACCATCCTTCAAACACATTGTAGAAAAAGAGCAAAGTTTTTATTTACATTATAATATAATGTTTATTGCGAGAGCCGGGGGCTTATGGGACCCCGGGGTCCCGCCATGAGGTTCATGTGATGAGGAGAAGGGTCACGCCCATGCAAGGGGATGACTCACCAACAGGCCCAGGAGGGCCACGTGGGCCCAGAGGCCCCAAGCCACCTCCACTGCTGGGTTCGCCTGGAAAACAATGATCATCAAGAGCAGTCACCAGGGATCAGAAATAAGATGGAAATTACGATTACTATAAATAATGTCTGGAGCTAAATTATATTTTGAAATGTCATCTTGGACAAAAAACCCAGAGTTGTTGGGTTTTTATTCATTAACCTTCATAGAAATTCTGGATAATTTATATATACAACAATCCTATTTTATTAGTTATCGTATCAATATATTTGAACGTCTCACCTTTCTCTCCCTTGTGCCCGGGAACACCTGGAAAGCCATGGTCACCTTTGTCTCCCTTGACCACGTGGCTCTGAATGATGGGTGGATCCACGCGTCTGTCTTCAGCATCTGGCCTAGGTCGATAATTCACGTCTGGCTGAGGCCTAACTCTTGAATCTGGGGGTTGAAGTGGCCTTGGGGCTGGGGCAGCCGTCACCTGCACAGAACACAAGTGATGTGGGTTTTTTTGGAGCAAAGGTTTGGCGTTAGTTGTCGATGTCATAACGTCTCATGGTTTAAATCATAATTGAATGTAATATGTGCCAAGTGCACATTCCTATATATACACAGTAATTGTTTAGTTGAAAAAGGCTCTGCTCCAGGTATCGGCAACCTATGGCCCAGAGGCCGGATATGACTGAAGGCTTGGTTTTATGTGACCACGAGGGCTATCACTGCTATGCCCTCGAAACAACATTTATCTGTCACTGCAAACATCTGAGCCACACAAATCAGGCAGTCGAGGAGAGTATTTTTGACATTGTTCTCATTATTTTTCTCATTACTGTTGGATAATGCTAAATGGTGCATTAATGTGTGGTTTCTGTTTGGTGTTTTAACAACTTAACACCTCTTCTTGGTTCTTTCGGTAAAGTCACGTAGAAGGGAAGTAATAAAATAATAAAAATAAAACATAATAAAACAATTCTCACGACGTTTCGGCCACAACGGACGGCTGCTTGCGTTGTGGCCGAAACGTCGTGAGAATTGTTTTATTATGTTTTATTTTTATTATTTTATTACTTCCCTTCTACGTGACTTTACCGAAAGAACCAAGAAGATGAATCCCTGCAGTCACGAAAGCTTTAAATCGAAACTTAACACCTGTTTTGTTGTCAGATAAAAAGGTATAAAACCTCTTCTCATATTTTGGTACTGGCAAAGGAGGACCCATGATGTAGATGCTCACCCCGAGCTCTTATTACTCTGATAGTGCATTGTCTTTGTGCTGTACGCCTTTTGGAGTCCTCTGGTCTAACACCGTTTGAGACGAGGCTCAAAAGAAAGCTGCCTCTGGTGTGGACCAATCAATTTCAAAGACAATACATATATTATAAGAGTATGTTTTTTTTTTTGCATTTTTACCACAAGTATTGTGGTTAATGCAGACATGATTCCTTGTAAAAGGTTTCAGTTTGGTGTTTTAACAACTTAACACCTGTTTTGTTGCCAGATAAAAGGGGAAAAACCTATTCTCATAATGTGTGGTTGCCCACCAATGTTATATTGTAAATTGACCCTCGGTAAGAAAGGGTCCCTCCCCCGTTCTGCACCAGATGAATATAAACCACAGCTCATGTATCAACGCCAGAGAACATGCTACTGAAAACTGATGATGCGCACCAAGTCATCACTGTCACGTAAACTACTTATTTATGAGTTTCATTGGTATATATAACGAAGTACACATATTAAAGGAGTACTTCTATTGAGATGTAATATTTCGAAACTGAAATGAGCGCATGCTCCTGCATACGACGTTCTACAGTAATACATTTTTTGTAATGTCTGTCAATGCTACATCTGCTATACAGTACACTATTGCCTCATTACCGACGTCCGAGTGGCATAGCTTCGGAACAATTATAAAAGCTACAGGGCTCACCGATGGTGTATGGCCTCTAGAAGTGTCCTCATCCTCATCATCATCCTCATCCTCGTCCTCATCCTCCTCATCTTCAGACGCACCACTGATTCCATCCCCAGATACCTGCAGTCCACACAGATGGTTTTGATTCCAAGAACACAGGATGAGATGTTACTATCCTTTGTGCAAGCACTTCCAAGCGTTCATGAACAGTGAGCCTGGTGAAATTTGGGGAGCGCATCGTCAGTAGTGAACCTTTGGTTCCTAGGGTGTTTCGGCCTTTCATACTATACACCCTCCCCAAAGGCGGCCAGCGACAGGGAGATCAATCCTACGCTTGCGTCCCATTCCCAATTAGTCATAGGAGTTGCCTTGTTGTTGATAGCCAACATCCCATGGGACTATGCATGGCAGGGGCGTCCTCCTCCCTGAGTCAAGCATTGTTGACTGCATACCTCCTGGCCCTCTCACTTTGGGGCCCAGCTGGGGTCTTTCCTCTTCATCCAGAGCCACTGACTGCTGCCTTCTGCCGCCTCCGATACAGCTCTGATTGCCGAACGCTGGCTCTGGCCCTTACCCTCCTGCGATGAGGAGCTGTTCAGCGTTGTAAACTGAATGAGCGTGCGTGTTGCACCTGCTCTTGGTCTTCATTGTCGCACTGAGCAGAAGCTGCCTCTGGGTCCTCTTTGATAGACATCTCCTGGATGGCTCCCTGCAAGCACACACACACATAAGCATCTATGCACTTGCAACACTTTCACACATGGACTGTTTAAGCCACACACAATTGTAAATATTCCATATTTTAATTAATTCTTGTTTTTTCACACATCTTGCTATTGCACCTGAAAGCTTGCGATTACACTCGAATCTTAGCAGACTGCTCCTCTCTTCTTTCATATTGCTCCGGTCTCATGGCAAAGGAGATGAGTTGCCTTCAAGGACTTTGATGTGATAAGTAAAGAAGCGACTGATTGAACACTTACTTTAAATATTACTTTTTCTATTTTCCTCTTACAAGTGTTTCATCTTCCTTATACATAAAAAAAATATTGTGCCTACTTATGCTCGCAAATAAAAAAAATTTGTTGGTTGGCAGTTGGAGTTCAAAAATGCAAACTCACGAACATATGAATACTTTTGTTAGAAGGGGGTACAAAAAAAGTCCATTTAGGCATTTCAAGGGTATATTGTTAAATTTTACAATGTTTGTTATTGAACTGGAAAATCTTACAAAAGGCCAAGCCCCACTGACCTGACCTCACTGTCAAAAGGGGAATCACTACACTGAGACAGATGTTCTGAAGTTGAATAAGGACAGCCTCTTCTTTGTAGTGCTAATCTGCATTGGAACCTCGGTTTCAGTTTACACAATCTGTTGCAGTGTGATAAAATGTCAAACATCAAACAAATCTACAGCTTGGTCTTAATCCAGCTTTACTCCTGCTGGCTAAAGCAAAATCGTTATGTTCTTGTGGTGGCACTGTAATATGGAGCAAGACGATGTTCATCCATTGGTGCTGATGATAACATTTTCTCACAATTATCTGTTTGTTACATGAACATATAAATACGATATACATTCATGTAAGTTGTTTGTACTTCTTTTCACCCAATCATGGAATAAACAGGACTGGAGTAATTCAACTATTCCCATGAGTCACCTCCTTTGTTTGCCTCGTGCAGCAGAATAGATTTGTCAACGAGTCATTCAGTGATAAAATTAGCAATGTGTGGCTATTATGCTCCTCTAAATGCCATGAATATTGATTTTAAGAGAATCATTTCATGTTTGTCACAGACGGTGTTTTCATGGAATTTGTTTCCTTTGTTCAGCTGCCAACTGTCATATTTGAACTAATAGATGCTAAAATGCAAACAATAAAAACCTCACTTAGTAGCAGTTCCGAACGTTCTTTCGACTTTACATTAAGCATGTAATAATCAAAATAATAATTGCTGATCAATCCACTGCTGGATGAATGCCTCCCCATGCTGTGTCAGTCATGGGCATTTTTTGACCATACACTGATCAGCATAGATGGATCAAGGAAGTCCAGCACTGGATTTGATATCATTTGCCACTGATGTTAAACGTGGCTGGAAATTTACTCAGGTCATAACGTAGAGTGCTACACTACTGCTTCCCAAAATCATTAATGACACGTTATTATGATTATTATTTGATTGTTTATTATTGATTTATATTTAAAAAGTCATAATCTAATTGAAATTTATATATTTTTAATCCACAACCACCTAAGAAGGGCAACAGCAGTGCTCAAAGCTAGTTTTTGCTTGGGACACTTACAACAAACTTATCGGTGTCAGCTCCCCCGGCCTGAGCGATGAAGATTCCTCCATTCGGGTCAAAGCTCAGGGCATGGCTTGCACGTTGGATAGCGGCACGCTCCATGAGCTGGCAGCCCATGTAGAATGAGACTGTGTCCTCCGCCACAGACAGCGCCAGCCTCGTCCAGCGATTTGTCATTCGAGGTACCTGGTGTGCACAAAGACAAAGATCCCCCTTGTAGGCTTGACAGACTATTGGGGCAGGTACTGTGAGCGAGCACATATGAAGGCCAGTACAGCACATGAAGGGGTGACAATATTTACACACCGCACTAGGTACTCATATGAGGCTGAGTCGACCTAGGAGAGGCCCAGGACTGGTACAGATAATCGTCACTGGTATTGGCCATGAACAGGAATCAAACTCGGGTGGTTGGGTTTGTAGCTCAACACGCTAACCGTTACGCTACTACTCCCCACAGCCACACACGTGCACATGAGGCCACTCCACGTGAATGTAAATTGGGTGGAATATTAAAGACGTTAATTTTGCTCATTTGGCTTTTGTGGTAATACATGTGTAGTGTTTTGAGTAATACTGCGACAACAAGTAAGAGCACAACTACAAATATTTGTCACACAAGGATTTATGTGGAGCTACAGCAAACGGAAGGCATATATGCTGCCTTAATTTGCATCACCAAATTTTTTTTCATAAATAATATAATTAGATTATTCTGTTTATACAAATTTGCAAACAATGACTACATTGCTTCTTTCCTTGCACTGTTCACATTTGGAATTACCTCCCATCGCCACAATTAAATAAGGTAGAGAAGAAAACTAAAATTGTTCTTTAATTCAAGAAACGAATTGACTCATCTATTACACCATCAAGAGTCCTAACAATGATTTGGAGCTTTCGTGACTGCAAGAATTACTCTTTGGTTCTTTCGGTAAAGTCACGTATAAAGAGAAAATAATAAATTAAATAATAGCATATGACGTTTAGATTGCAACACAAGCAATCAAGAGATAACAGACCTAGTAAACTTATAAATATAATTTTTCGATTTAAAGCTTTCGTGACTGCAGGGATTCATCATCTTGGTTCTTTCGGTAAAGTAACGTAGAAGGGAAGTAATAAAATAATAAAAATAAAACATAATAAAATAATTCTCACGACGTTTCGGCCACAACGCAAGCAGCCGTCCTCAGGTGAAAACCAGGTCTGTCGAGGCGACAGACAACACAGAGAGTCGGCTAACATAACAGTTATGTTAGCCGACTCTCTGTATACTGTTATGTCAGCCGACTCTCTGTGTTGTATTGAATTATATTTATAAGTTTACTAGGTTTGTTTTCTCTTTCATTTGTACCTGATGATGATTGCTTGTGTTGCAATTGAAACGTCGGATGCTATTATTTAATTTATTATTTTCTCTTTCTACGTGACTTTACCGAAAGAACCAAAGAGTGCTAACAATATCTGAACTCTTTGGGCTTTTCTTGGTCTGTCCTTAGAAAACCGTGATAGATAAATAAATAAAGCCTTACGGGGAAGGCGGCGGCAACGCGGGTGTCGGCGCCGCTGGGCTCCGTGTAGAAGAGTACTATCGTCTGCTCGCCGTCCTCCACCGGCATCAGCTTGAGCCCCAGCTGTACCATCTGCTGGAAGGAGTCCGTGACGGCGAACAGCACACCGCCCTCATCCGTGGCTGGGCGCACTGTGGCCAGCAGCGAGAAGTCGCGGGACAGCGTCCGGGGGAGGTAGGTCCCTGCGGCGCGCCCCACGTTGGCATCCTCGGAGAACTCGTACGCTGGGAAGCCCTTGTAGCCGGCCGTGAAGGAGACCGGGGGAGGCAGCGGGACTCCGATCAGCTGCAGCAGGTCCACATTTTGGCCCTGGCCTAACGATTGCATATGGATAGAGAAGAAAACAATATTTCAAAGATATTTGAGATTAATTCAAGCCATTTGTTGGGCCTGCTATGCCTTATAATAACGTAAGTAGTAGTAGCAATAATATGACAAAACTGTCGGCAAGCCTAGCTGAGTAGCAGTGAGGATGCTGTGACATGCAAAATTATGCAGCTTCGCAAAGGCACGCGCTAAATATATACTCTTAAATCAGAATTTTAAAGCGTCACAGTGGCATTTTATAGTATGTTTGTCAAATCTAAGTAAGCTTTAGTTTGTTCACACGAATCTCTTTATATTTTTTAAGTTAATAAATTCATGAAGTATATTTTCACGAAGTATTTATTTCAAATTATTTATTCACAACAATATTATAAACAAATTCCTTAAAATGTTGTACAAACAATTTAGTAATATATAAATGAAGATAATGCTAGTACCTCATATTTGCTGATCACAAATCATTATAACAACCAAGTTAATTGACTACAGGAAATTGTTGAAAATCTTAATTATAAATATATATATATTTAAACAAATATAACAAGTTCACGAAACAACTGAAGGTATCCATGAGAGGCACTCATCTGGAAAGACACTCTGCTGGAAATCACAAGTACAGTATGTACACCTAAGGCAGTTATTTAGGGTAGACTGGGATCAAAATGATGAATTAAAGAGGCTGATGAGAAAACTAAAGTTGTCAATGGAACGCAGCATATCAATGTGGATCAGAAACATGAACACTGACAAAAAACGGAACAAAAGCTGGAAAATGTTCAAAAGAGTGTATGCATGTTTGGCATTACACTCAGTAGGACAGCTGAATCAGACGATATAAAGCAAGGTAGAGACATCACGCAGCAGTGCAAATGGGCTTGGAAAGGACACCACTCATGGTCAAGGCTAATGGTGGAGTGACAACCAACGGAGGGAACACTCAAGAGTGCGTACATCAATGAAATGGAGCGATCAATTCAGCTCCTGTGGAGATGTCTTGTTACATCACAGTTTTGTGAGAATTGGTGAAGGCTTTTGAAAGCTTTCATGCAGCAGTAGATATATCATAGCTAATGACAACGATTATATGTTTCACCACGTGTACAGGGAAATGTACCCTGCATTACGATGCCACAGGGTATATAGGGGAGGTCAGATGTGATTTCCAAAAACAGCTGGTGCCCGCATTGCCATGGAAGCATTAATCTTAAATCAGCAGTTGGTCAAACACGTGTCAGCAATTATATTTGTACAAAAGCCAAGAACAAGGTTTACATTTTTACAATGCTCCTGTAGTTAATCTTAAAAGAGCTGCTTATAAATATAACATGTGTGGACTTACGCATAGCAAATGTGACCATATTTTTCCATTAAAAGTAAACATTACATATAAAAGGTATCCATAATAAAGGTTTTTTTTGGGTTAGATCACGTAAATATAAATGTGTCTTAAACCCACCACCACCCAACACAGCCAATTAGTAAGGTTTGTCACAAAAACAAAACATGTCAATTCGTTACTAGTATAGCACACCGGTGTGTTGGAGAGTAAACCCACAACGTTTACAATTCGAGTACGACGTTTCGCCAGTAATTACAACTAGGTATCATAAAAAAGGTATCATGCATGTATATCAAAGGTGCAATCTTTAAACATGTGAAATAATGCTTTGGATGAATATACAAAATAAATTTCAGAAAACATAGAGAATATATGGCAAGGCTAACTATAATTGAAGTATTACACTTATTTTGCAATATCACCATTAACATTTTTTAAATCAGCTCCCAAGTGTTCCTGTGAAAACTGACATATTACTGAGTAGTAAACAAACCAAAAAATTACATGATAAAAAAACATCTATGTCATTCACATTTTTTACAAAAATTTGGTATTTAATTTTGTTCTCAAGATACCAAGGCCTATTGATAAATTTGCAATTCTCTCAGTGCGTTCTATCCATTAAAAGTGACACCATGGTGCAATACCAACCGCCATGTGTCTCTGTTAAGAGAAAATGCGTAACATTTTTATTAATTCAAATCAAAACTGATTTTTGTGTTTAGCTTTTTGTCCTTCCCCTGCACCTCCGATTAGCACAGGTGGCTATGTACGGTGCAAAAGAAGTTCAACACACATGCATATAATACAGGTGCACACACACTGACACACTCCCTAGGAGTCGGAGTGTAAATCACCCGAAATACCACCTTACCCTGCGGCCCGCGAATCTGCAGCTGTGCCGGGATAGCCATGGCTCTCAACATGGGTGCGAGGACTACGCTTTCCACTGCAGCCGAGGTGGAAAACACGACCCCACTTTCAGTCGTTCTTCTTGTCAAATTGCCTGCGCCACCAGTCCCTACTGTGATGCTTGTATTGGTCACGGCACCGGCTCGAACCATCTTGTCCTTCAGAGTTTCATCGACGGTGATGTCCAATGTGCTCTGCTCAAGTGGTTTCACTTCGAAGCTTGGGTTGGTTACAATGCTGACTTCTGAGTGCTCGCGAGTGCTTGAAGCAATAGTTGTCAGCTGCTCTCCTGCAGTACTTTCTTCCAAGTACCTTTGCTGTACATCAGAAGATTCTCCTTGTGTCATAAGAGCTGAGATGAATGTGTTACTGAAAGGTTTTGAATTGATGCCAGGTGCAATGCTGCTTTTATCCTTCTCCACTTCAGTTGTTGCAGTAGGGGATGCTTTTGTTGCACCAGTCGTCTTCACATCGGTGCCTCTAGCGAAAGGCCTTATGTGCCATTGTTTCCAAAACCACGTCAGCTGCTGAGCATTCCCTATGGGGCTTACCCACAGAAGTGTCACAATCCACATGAGGCGGAACCAAGTTAACCGGCAGCACATGGCGCTGTCTTAAGGCGAAATCTTTGCAAGGCACAGAGCAGTCTTTAAATGTCCCTTTGTTTCTTCAACAATGTCCGCTGCTTGTGACTATTATACCTCCTGCCTTCACACATGTGGCCTCCAAATTCCAAATGCTGCTAATTATGGACTGTGTATCATCAAAAATCTACCATAGTGGACACTAATAGATTCCATTCGTAAATAGCTATGGCTGACCGCACACACACACTGCATGACTCTCAGCAACAGCCTCAGTCACACCCTGCAAGTTATGCAAGGGCCATCACCTTGGCTCTAGCTGCTGTTCACCATCCCAACCTCCACAACAAAAGGAGTCAGGGCTGTCATCTGTGTGACTATTAAAACTGGTAACAAGACTCCTAACAATGGACTCTACCATTACTTGTGCACCATGGATTGTGGGAGGTTTCTTTTTGAACAGAATAAAAAACACATGTGTAACCAGACACGTTAAGACAATAAAAACCCCCATTGTCATGTTAATGTGGTTGCTGATAAGTAAAATAAAGTCATAGCAATAAAGTATCCTCAATTACTCTTGCCTGACTAAATTGTGTGGTAAGTTGCCATAACAACAGGCCAGCATTTGTCCCTAAGGATTGACCAGGGGGAGCCAGGCGATGTCCTAAAGACGGCATCGCACTTCCCAGGGATTCATTGTCTGCTTGTTGGTGAGGCTCTCCGATTCCAAAACAGCACAATGGCATCTCCCCCCAGCCAGCACCGCCAACCAGAATGGCGCAGAGGCAATGACAAGGGGCGGGCTGGTGCTGTAGAGAGAGAGACTGAGACAGCAGGCATACTGATGCGGATTAACTGTGGGCTGGCAAGTCTTTAGCAAGGTGTCCTCACACATTTGCTCGTGTAGCGTGTACAAGGATTTTAGCAAGGCTCGTAAACATGCAGAACTTCGTATTGCAAAACACATATTTCAGCAGATATACGTACATGAATATGAGCTATTTTTCCATTGGTTCAAAATAGAGGTACATGATGAAGATTCATCCCCTGGAAATTAAATGAACTAGAAATTCTAGCTCCTGCGGAGGGATTCTCAGCGCTACGAGCCTCACCCGTCACCCCCACTGATGTTCTCTCCCCCCCTCCCATGCGTGCAGATACTACTCACTGTATTGTATGTGGGTGTGTAGGCATATATGCCTACACCATTTTTTTGCGGGGGGGGGGGGGAGTGAAAAAAACGTTGGTGTGTCGACTAACTTGTTGGATCAACTTTTTACCCCCACATCTGGGGGGGGGGAGGTCCACTTTCTATAACGTTTTAATTCAGGCCTTCTGAAAGGCTCTTATAATTTAGTTGACAGACAAATTGACAAACAGAACGCCGGGCATTTATAATAGATTGTCAGGACTCACGGTCACAACCGGTTCAAGTATCATTTATTTAACATTGTGGTGAATGGAATGAAAACGAGTGGTTGCAGGGGTAGCGTGAATTAATGTGTGTATACAGTACATATACAGTATAATAATGGAAAACATACATTCTGCAACTATGGTGGGTTCAAAAATGGGGCACCACAGTGGCGAGATGTTAACTGCCTCGCCTGACCCTGACGCCTGCTGTATATTTGGAGTTTGCATGTTCTCCTCGAGGTTGCGTAGATTGTCTCCAGGTCCTCCGGTTTTCCCCTCCACATTTAGAAACATGCATTTTGAGTATTTGGCTGCTATAAACTTCCAAATAAGCCACTTCGTTGAGATATCATGTGTGGTCAGGTCTTACCTGGTAAAATATATTTTTTATATATATAGTTTTACAGTTTAAGAATTGATATTAATCAATCGATGCATCATTACAGTGTCAATACAAAAGCACTCTAATGTATAGTGCATGCAACATGCAGGAGAAAAAGAGAAGAGTATGCATAAGGCACTTGTCATGCAGGCATTGCTCAATGAACACTCAGCGGGGCACTTCTTGAGAACTCATGGTGGATCTGTTCGACATGTCTTGAAGGCATACGTTTCCGTGGCATGAGCGCACGTAGATGTACAACAATTTTGTCAATCCAATGCTGGATGAGAGCCTCTCGATACTGTGTGGGTCATGGGGTCATTTAGCCATACTTCACCACGCTGTATCCGTGTGTGCTGATGAACTCGGGGAACAAAGACATGGGAACAGAGTACAGCACAACACTGTTTCCCCGTAGGTCATGAACACACAAGATTAGGGTTGCCACCTGTCTGGGTTTGATGCAGATAATCCGGAAATTGGCAAAAATGTTAAATTGGAAGGAATGTATTTGTATGGAGATCTGGTAGCGGTATTGTGTTGCACATTATCGCAATGTCCTACACATGATAGACATAGGCTTATGCTATAACCTTTCTGTGCAGTCTGAGTGCTATCCCAATGTTTTTGCGAGTGTTCTTTGCCACTCTGTGGAAATAATATGACGTAATAAAAACCCACTTGAAAAAATTTAATATACTTGTACGAATGAAGCCCATGTTAACACAAAATCGTAATTATAATTATTACTGATTTAGCAAATAACATATTTGCCCATCTATGTCCAGTAAAGCGAACAGAAAAGTCAAAAAACAAGTATGTACTACACAGGACATTCGCATACTATTTAAGCGCAGTGTGATATGACATCAGCACACTGCGAAAGAAGCAAACGTGTTTTCTGACACTGCTTTTTGGCAGTGGTGTACAAACGCACCTTTGATTAGCACGGTGGGCTACGTCCAGTGTGAAAGAATTTCAACATACATACAAATAACTAAAAACTTCATGCACTTGTCAATAGAAGTTGTCTCAGGAGGGAGATGGGCCATTTCCCAAAACGTCACCTATCATATTTTCCCACTTCATGGCAGTGTTATTGGCGAATGTGTTGAATCTATTAGGACATTAGCACACTGGTAGGACATTAGCAGAATGTGATAGGCATCCTTTATCGCAAGTCCATTTGACCTGCGGTGCTCAATTTGCAACGCAGCTCCGCTACGTCGCTTCTGGCGCCACCTTGTGGACAAACAAAGGCGAGTCAAAGTTGAAAACTGTCAAAGGGGCTTATTGTAAAGGGGACGATGGAAGGTTACAAATCTATCGCACACAATATTCAATGCGCAGTCCGGGAATTGCCATCTGTGTTCGGGTGACCAGAATTGGTTTGAGCCTAGTTTTGGTACCGATATTGTGCTGAACTGTATTACAGTCCAGTGCGCAGTTTTTGATCGACCTCGACTGAGAAATGTGTCCGAATTTGGTTTAATGGAAAAGGTGGCAACCCTACTTACAATAAAGTACAGCAAGTATGTGCGGAGTTTCAGCGCTCTCGATACGTGCGTGTGAACTGTTCTCTCTGTCGCTCTAGTCTTTTTTGTTTTCTTTCACACTCAGAAAGTCAGAAACTCTAGACCCGGTACTCAATGAACGAGTCAACAGGAAGGACACTCCCATGACATAACGATCATTGGCGCTCAGCGGTCAGAGTATCTCCAGGTTAAGTCAAGAATGTAAACAATTGACAGTGTCATGTGAACACGTGAAAGAAAGAAGTGTGCACCTCGCAAACAGTGATTATTGAGAAAGAGTTTAGTGGTTACAAAGTGTAATGAATCAACGACCCTTCCCTCATTTAATCACGCAAAGGAAACAGGGGGGGGGTGGGAGTTGAGCGTGGTCACACGATCATTGAGCGTGGTCACTGGATCATTGAGCCTGAGATGGCAAATGGCAGTGGCCAATAGATGGCAGTGGACAATAGATGGCAGTGGACAATAGATGGCAGTGGACAATAGATGGCAGTGGACAATAGAGTGCAGTGGACAATATATGGCAGTGGACAATAGATGGCAGTGGCCAATAGATGGCAGTGGACAATAGATGGCAGTGGACAATAGATGGCAGTGGCCAATAGATGGCAGTGGACAATAGATGGCAGTGGCCAATAGATGGCAGTGGCCAATAGATGGCAGTGGACAATAGATGGCAGTGGCCAGTAGATGGCAGTGGACAATAGATGGCAGTGGCCAATAGATGGCAGTGGACAATAGATGGCAGTGGCCAGTAGATGGCAGTGGCCAATAGATGACAGTGGACAATAGATGGCAGTGGCCAATAGATGGCAGTGGCCAATAGATGGCAGTGGACAATAGATGGCAGTGGCCAATAGATGGAAGCAGCAGCACGCTGGCTTGCATCATGACCTGTGGGTATTTTTTTAACTGGCCCGCTGTCACAAACTGCCTTGCCAAATCTAATTAGAGTACGGGGTCCCAGCGAAATGTCATCACCCTGGGATAGACATTAAGTGTGACTATCATGCTGCTTTTAATGTGTAACTTTCAGAAAGTTCTAATCAACATTTTTCATTGTTTTATGTATGTGTAGTGCCTGAAAGTGCGCGCGCACGCGGCGTACAGTGGGAGCAAATAAGGACACGGGGCGCTGATTGGCTGGTTGTTGTTGTTGTCGAGATGTGGGGCTGCGCTGAGGATGGTAGCAGTGGAGAAGAGTAGGGTAGCAGTGGAGAAGAGTAGGGTAGCAGTGGAGAAGTGTACACTATGGGAACCTCATTTGCCAGTAAAAATATGATAATTGGTTTTTTACCCTTCTATATGGCAACAGTTTTGTTGCCATATAGAAGGGTAAAAAACACAATTATCAGTGGAGAAGTGTAGAGTAGGAGTGAGACGACGAAGCCAGTAGAAAGCGGCTAGAGTGTGGGAAGAGAAGCTGATGTAGTTACGACAGAGTGGGACGGCGGAGCTGATAAAGAGCAGCTGAACTGTGGCGGAGAGAGCGGAGAGGAGAGTCGACGGAGGAGTGATGCGGAGCGAGTGAGGCCGGCGGAGGAGAAACGTGGATCGGTGTTAGCTGGAGAAACGTTGAGCAATGTTGGATGGAGGAGTGTTGATCGGAATACGCGGAATAAAGTGAAAGAGGAAAGACAAGAAGCTGTCGTGTCGATTCGAGCACTACATATGTATAATGTGAAGTAAATTGTATTGGA